GTTATTACGACTAATATGGTTTGAGAATGTCACGAGGCGAGAAAAATCAGAAGCATTAAGAATTGTAATGGAAATAGACGTAGGAGAAAACACCGAAAAAGAAGTGGTTGTATGCGATTGAGAATAAGATAATGCTTGGTTTACGCCAGGAAGATAGGATAAGGAATAAGTACCTGAATAAGAGCTAGGTAGCTTAGGTGTGATCTAGGTAGTGGACAAAATTAGTGAAAATAAACTAATATGGTTTGAGAATGTCACGAGGCGAGAAAAATCAGAAGCATTAAGAATTGTAATGGAAATAGACGTAGGAGAAAACACCGAAAAAGAAGTGGTTGTATGCGATTGAGATTGATAAGAGGATGAGCATAAGATTTTATAAAAATGTTTCTGTAGTTTGATCATATATTATAAGATACGCATGTTATTGTATACTACAATTTCTGTAATCCAGTTATATATTATAATTATTATTAATATTAATAATTATACAACAGTTGTATATTTCAAACAAATAATATTATGATCACTGATTAGAATGTGATGGTTTATTGTAGCAGTAGGTACAGCATATTAATGAAATGGATTTTTTTTTTTTCATACAAATTATAATGCTTGTTGCATTATTTCAATGAGAGTCAAGTCTACTTGGGCAAGTCGGCATTATTCAGACATACCGTGAATAGTATAGTACATAGTCAAATATAATTTCATAATATTGAAATGTTCTCATGGCAATGTAAAATTGGACCAACATATTACTTTTTACGAGTGAATGTAGGTACCAGTTACTTAAACAACACAACTTATGAAGTATGACATAATTGAAATTTACGAAGATTCCGTAAAATCGCTTTTTTTTTTTAGTTTTGAAAGTAAAGTATTCAAATTAAGAGCAAATAATCAAATGTTGTCGTATAGAAACAACAGAAAGCATTGTTTATTTTTTTTAGGGGGGAGGTGGTATTTCTTCAATAGCGTATCTGCACTTAACAGAATCTCGGTTATAGTAATTTTAGATGTTTTTTCCGTTATTATTATTACACATGAGTGTTTTGATTTTTTTTTCGTCATATTTGCATTAATCCTAATTAAAATACAAATTTGTCAACATTAAAATCGGGTTAAATCGAAATCAAATAAACTATAAAATAAAAATAAAAAATACTGAACAAATTTAATATTTTGTTTACCTGTCGATGAATTATGTATAATTAAACGAAAATAGATAAAACACTAAGAAATCCAATCTATACTTATTTTAAACGGTTGAGTAAAACATGTCGAACGAAAGGAAAACTTTTAAAAGATAAGTGTGTTGTTGTTCTAGAAAAACAACCGACCGAGTCCTTCGTGAAAATGAATTCATTGATGCCCTTAATTTTTTTTATATATAGATAGATAAATAATTTGTATTTTTATACAACGGAAATACAATACATTTAATACCTTGGATGTATTATATGACGGTTATTCAAAGACGATTTTTCTTTTAGAACACAATGTTAAAATAGGAAAATAGGAAAATTGGTTGTTGACATCGACGTCAAGGTCGTTTTGCGGATAGTCCATCAGCTACTTTTGAGGAGTTCGTCATTATTGGCACACAAAAAACGATTGAATACGAACAAAAATGAACTATATAATTGTGCCATTCTAATAGATTGTGAAGCAAACACAATTGAGTTGAAAAAAAATATCAATCATTACAATATTTTCATTGTTATATAAATCATCATTTAAAAAAATTTAAAATAATTTGGTGTGATTACGAAAAGAAAATACATTTTTTGTTCGAACGTTTTTTAACTAACGATAAAAATTCAAATGTTCGGTTATATTTTTTGAAAGTTTGATTTTAATGCATTTGTTTTCTTCCAAGTTCCAAGAACTTTTAATTTTCGGTAGTTAAGAAATTATCGCTTAGGCAGTACACAAAAGTACAGCGAAATACAATAGTTATTACAGTAAAAACGTTAATAATGAGAAAAGTATACAGATATAGTTTTAGATATTGATAGTTGATAAATGATAGTTTATATGGCCCTCTAATTAAATTAAATTGAGGTAGTGTCTAAATAGGAATTTTTTAAGCTACGTTGCGTTCTGAGAACGGGATGATTGTGTCCAAAAGGACGTAAAATAGTTAAAGTGGGTACGTGGAATAATTGGTGGCTTCTATAGTATTATAAGATGGAATATGAAATTATATTACGACAGACAGGCCGGTACACCCAATTGGCTTTTTTTTTTAGACGAGATATAATAAAAGCATGATCTGTATCAAAACGTCGAGAAAAAAATAAAGGTACTATAGGACATTAAAATGGAGGAATAACCGTGGGGAGAATGATCGAAATAATATAGGAAATAATATAGGTAGGTAGGTATAGTTAATTATCTGTAATATACAGTTTTTTAAGTACAAGTATACGGTTTTTTTTTTTTATCTACGAACATTCATATTGCAATATTACGATGTAACTTCGGTAATTTAAAAACTAGCTGATTTCTAATAATTTTTAACGATTGGATAAACCTATATTTTCGATATATATTTCTATAAAAAAAGTTTCAATCTATATGCACGTATGCAAATACATTTTTCTATTATATAAATGTATTAATAGTTTACGAAAAAAAAAAAATTAAAAAAAATATAGTTTGCATTTATGATATAATACATTATACAATTCGTCAACGTGATATTTAAATTTTAAAGTCGATCGAAAATACATAATTAGTCGTACCAATTAGAATATACTGTCTAAAGGGTGTTGAAAACATAAAAATGACAAATAAGCCGATCAAAATACTGTAATACACATGGTGTGATGTATTCGCAATAAATTTGTTAAACGTTTTATATTTTCATCATACCTGCGGCAATATTATTTCGATAGAGAGGAAAATATTTCTAAAGTGTAAACGATATGATTTCAGTATCTATAAATATATACATCGCGGATACTTTCATGATGAACGACGATCAAATTTTTATATAAAAATAAAAACCCCCGTGTAACGAAGCGTAATCATTTTACCGACAAAACTCGCGGCGGTACAGCTAGGGAGCTCATATTCCCAATACGACCAAAAAACGTTTTCGATTAAAAATAATGAAAATCGATCGAAAGTCGTACCTATAGATTTCGAATCGGAAACGCTTTTCGGTTGATTTGAGAATACGTGTAGGTCCACAGAGGCGAACAGTGCTATAAGATGATACGTGTCTATGTTGCGCCTACAGCGAATACGCATTACTATTGACTGCAGTGCGGTGGCCGAATATTTAGTCCAAGGTTTGTTAAAAAAATCGGAATCGCGACTACTATAATACAAATATATCTATACCGACAGTAACGCGTAAAAAAAAAAAAAAAAAAAAAATGATAATAATAACAAAACAAAAAACGACTATTGCAGTGAACAATTTATTTTAGTGACGGCCGCGGTGGTTAAAAAAAAAAAAATAACAAATAAATAATTATAATACGGTCCTAAAAAAGACCGCGGCGTGGACGAACAATATTGACCAATGAGCGACCGCGGCAAGCGTGGGGATGACCGACGTTGCTTTTTTTACTATAAATACGCCATCCCGTCCAACGTACAGATCATACTGAATCCGACAGTGTTCCAGAACAGTCACAGCCGATTATAATAGTACAAATATTCTCAACGTGTTTCAAACAGTTTTTCAGTGCACTTTCGTCTTGTTCTACCGTTCGAATTCAAAAATGGCGTTCATACAGGTCAGCATTATAATTATATGATATTATTATTGTTTATAAACATAATCTCGAGACGGCGAACAATCCGCTGTTACTCGTTCAAAACACCTGCGAATTTTTTTCCGTGAAGCCCGAGTTATTTCGTTTGATATTTTCCATTCGTATAGCACGGTTTACAATGCATAGTACATTATACAGTTTCAAAAAACAATTCGAGTGACTTTAATTTCGATTTTTACACGGACGTTTTTGTTCAAACGAGTTTAATATTTGATACAGAAAGTTCGATTTACGAATCGTGATACCATCATTGTTATATTATATTGCTACGAATGTGTGAAAATCCGAGAGACCTAAACGCATGCAAATATTATTATTATAAACTTGACGAGCTTTAAGAACTCAGCGTTCAGTTCGCGTTATCCGTGAGCTTTCAGTGGAGTTTTCCCACAATTCTAATCCTTATCCTGAGCGTAAATAATTTTTCATTCGAATTTCGAGTATATTGTCGACGACTTAAAAAAAATAAAAAAAATATTGTCTGAATTATTCAATATACCGCGCGCGGCAAAAACTTTTGCGACGTCTGCATACGCGTATTTCACACAGTATGAAGGGGGGAAACTCGGGTATTTTCCCCAGTCTAACTTTCAGCCTTTTATTAAACAGTCGGCGTTTCGATTGATTTCTGGCTTTATGGGTCTGGGGAAAAAATAATAAAACCACACAATAAATTATATTCTTTGTTCATGAATCCCTGCACTAGTCAAATTTTCGAATTTACTGTTTTCCGATTTTCAAACGAAGTGACACGATTTTTTTTCTCGACAAACAAATCCTTTCTCCATCAGTTGGAAAATTTGGAAATAATTTGGTCCCTGCACAGTCTAATACCGCGAATATCGAAATGACGCCACTGATTTCGCGATTCGTCATCAAACCGAAAGTAATATTATTGTGTATCCCAACCGAAAACCGTAATAACAATGAAGAAAATTATTATTGTTGTCGATCGCGCATTGCTCGTGTGACACGAACTGAACTAGTTTTTTTTTTCTGCTTTCTACACGAATTCTCACGGCAATATTGTGCAGGGTGCTGTTAATTTTGCCGGCCGCACAGCCGGTCCCGTACAATAATAATAATAATAATAATAGTAATAATTATCGCGCGTCCGGGTTTTCCGCACGTATGTTATACCGTTCGACATGATATTACGATAAAAAGATCGCCGGTAAAGATTTGCGCGGTTACGCAACAGCGCTGCCTTTTCTCGCGACTATAACCCAATTATCCGGATTCATTTTTCACGTTCATTGTGCGTGCTCGCGTTACCGTACCATTGTCGTGCTGCGGCCGAGGAAAAAAAAAAACAAACTACGCACAACGTCGTATATCGAATACGTGTATATTGCACATTTGAAAAGAAGGCCGGTACGTATTTTTATATGGCGCTAATAATCGTGATCGCACCCGGCTCGATAAATTCCGTATTTACAATCCGCGATCGTCGGCTCGGCACGATCCGGCAAAACGAACTGACGGCAGAAGTTTTTATAATTTTTTTTTTTTTTTATATATATACGCTACCGTCGCTGACATATACACTGCGTCATGACGGATCGATTACTCTCGCGGGAGCTTTTATCGAGATGCACGACACCGGTAACAAATGGAGGCGCGATACACCCGCGGTTTGTTCGGATGAAATTCCATTGCGACAGCCGGCGGACGTCTCCGGGAATCCGCAGATAATCCGTAGTCTGCGGACTTTTCAATTCCGATTCGTATACAAGCACGTTAGAATTTCGGCCTTTTCTCCCCCCTCTCTTTCGGCGAACTCTGAAACCTACGCGGTATAGTATATCCACGTATGGGTGCTATTAAGGCGGTATAGCGAATGGTTATGGGGTAGCGGTATCCCGAAATTCGTGTCGGGGTCCGCACTACCCTATGAGTAATTTGCAAAAAAAAAGACCAGTGATTTTCTCGATTTTGACCATAATGTATATAACACTCTTAGATCATTCTACTGACGACTAGATTATGATATTTCTATTGTCCGCTGACATATTTCTACCCGATTCCGGCGTACAATTGACTGGGACTTATCGAACCGGCCGTTTCATTATATCCATGATTCTTTAGAACACAAACGAATTAAAAAATATTGTTCAAGACGCTTGCCGCCCCGCGACTTTACATTTCAAACGACGCCCGTACAGGGATCCGCGATATAATATTTTATTGTTCGGTGTTCGAAAACTATAATCTACCGCCTATCATATCCTATGTCTACCGTCCCGACATTGCTGCCCCTACAAAACACGTGGCCTTCCCTCGAAGTGAATTTTATTTGTTACATCCGCAATATGTGCCTGACCATATAATACAGTATAATAATCCACCGTCGTTTCGCAGTGCACACTCGCCGCTCTCATCTTGCACGTGGCTTGCGGCAGCTACCTGGCTCACCGGGCGATCGGTTACAACCACGGCGCCGTGTCCGACGGTTACCACCACGGTAGCGGTTACGAGGCCTCGTCTCCGTCTTACGAGTACGCCGCGTACCCGGCTTATTCGTCGGCCAGCACCTACCAGTCCTCCCATGGTGACTACCCGAGTTATTCGAAACCTGTCGACTACTACGTGAGTATTAGACGCGATGATATCCGTGCATTTTAAGCGAAAAAACCGATTTTACGTGACCCGTCGATTCGTTTGTTTTCGCCTCGAAATATCGCAAAATCTCAAAATGTCTTTGTCTGAAATGAAAAAAAAAAAAACCGTAATGTTTTCCGATTTCGTTTTTACAGTCGCCGCCCAAGTACTCGTTCAACTACGGCGTAAAGGACTACCACACCGGCGACGTCAAGGACCAATGGGAAGAGAGGGACGGAGACGTGGTCAAGGGCGAATACAGCCTGGTCGAACCCGACGGCACCACCCGCAAAGTCACCTACACCGCTGACGACCACAACGGTTTCAACGCGGTCGTCCACAAGTCCGGTACCGCCCACCACCCAACCGTGGTGGCGCACGCTCCCGTCTACAACCAGCACCACGGTTACCGCCGTTGAGAAGTCGTATTTATCTGTCACGATACCCGCGCCAGTAACCGCTGTCGCCGTTCGTCCGCATTGTCCCGGGCGAGCGTGTTACCATTATTAATAATACGTAGTAGTATAATACCATTATCATATCATTACCCTTTAAACGGAGTTTTCTACCAAATCAAAAATAAACACCGTTACGCATAATACAATAATAATATTTAACGAATTTCGAATGTTCTTCGAGCGCTTTACAAAAATAACTCGACTATCATCATTCTACATAATGTTTCTTTCGTTTTTTGTTTACGTACTTTTATACATACTCATCAACTTACCGTATCCACTTAAACGGTTCTTCGTCATGATCTCTTTTTCCATGTAATTTTACACGCGAACTTCACACGGTTTTTACAATTGACCGGCATTTTCTACGCGACGCGTAGATTTCAAGTCAAGTCCGTACATGATGTTTTATTATTTTATTTTTTATTTTTTTCTATATTTGTTTTTTACACGGTGTTTTTTATTATAACTATTATTATTATTATTATTATTATAATTTTCTATTGTTTTACGAATTCGAATTTTTAGTATTACTATAATATTGTATTATTGTTTTTTTACACGCGTTCGAGAATTGTATACCTACCGCGCGAATCGGGTATAATATTTCTCGACTGCAGATATGTAGTAAACGAAAATATTGCGATGTTATACTAATACTTGATCAATCATTTTTATATCTACTTTTTTTTTTAACATTATCTTATTGTATTCTGTTTATTGTAAATATACATTTCATACATTTTGCTCATACAATATAATATATCTAAAACGTATATATATATTTATATCTGTTTAATTATTTTCAACACGATAACGGGCGATCTATTCGAGTGATAACCACTCATCTCGGAAAGTATAAACTGAAGGACGCTGGGAAAAAAAAAACAGATATAAACTTTTTGCCAAAATGGTGATATTGGTATCAAATAATTTGTATTGACATATGGTTGTTTTTCATGCGATTAAACCGGTAAAAAAGCCAAATCAATCGATATTAATGAGCGCTAGAAGTTAAGTCCCACAGAAGAAAAAAAAATAGGTAGACAACTGATACTGAGACAGAACCAAAAAAGTGTCGGGTTAATACACAACTACAGTCGTGGTTAATCATATGATATAACATTATTGTGTTATGATTACGTTATTTAAAAGTTTAACATTTAACATAATTTAAACTTTTAACTTTGTAAAAAAATATTGTTTTAAAATTAAAAAAGTGTTTTTCTTAAATTGAAAAAGTGATTTTTCTGGCTTTCACTATGTACCCTTCAATTGTTTCAAAAAAAAAGTCTCGAACCATGTTTATATTAAATGTGTTTTACATTATTAAAACACCGTCCGAAGATAATAGGGACGCCACTGTTAAAGGTAATTAAATGCATATCTGTTAGCATCGACTAACCACTGTTAATGAAAAAACGATTCTGAGTGGAGTTCAGTTGATAGTGTATTGTAACTACACTTAGTTACAACAATATATATGTCATATTATGGTAAAATAATTACATAGGCAGTATATATTTTCTTTGAACATATTTATTCAATATTGTACCTATTTTTCTGTTTTTCCTACGATTTACCCGTGGATTTTCCATTTATTGGGAAAAATAGTGAGAAAATCAAAAAATGACCCCTCTAAATGTCTTCTCAGATATATTTCCTTTCAGAAAAGGTGATATACTTAAAAATTAAAGCAAGATCTCTAGTAAAAAAGTTTTCTGTAAAAAAAAAGTAATAATAAACATGTGGATTTATTTTCGGAGGTACGGATATGAATTTCAACTAAAATTCTCGACAGGTTTTTGAAATAGTAAATAGGTGCACGATTAAAGGATCACTGTATACGTTATATTATGGCGTTTGTACCGTTTTAAATTATTTCAATTTACCGCTTTTTCACCGTTTTAAAAATTTCAATCCTGTACTAGGGTTCCAGGAGAATACTGACGAAAATCACGTAGTACACGTCGTTAACGTCATTCGGTGGCGTGACCGGACAAAGTTTCACCACATGAAGTCCTAGTACCGATTTAAAGTTTTTCCGCATTGGAACCGCAGTATTTTTTTTTTTAAATTCAATTTTTTGAATCTTCTTTCCGTCTGTTTCTTTTGTCGATAAAACCAAAGAGTTACATTGTCCCTCTATAATATAATCGTGTTTTCGGCAGACATTTTAGTATTTCATCGTAACGATTGTAGTCGTTTGTTTTGTATTTTTATATCAGGAGCCTAGCGGTCTATCAGTTTTACTATGACGTGTGTGTTTTTCTCAAGAGCAATTTTTTGTTGTATTTCGGATCTAGTTTTTGAAGAAATAAGTTGTTTTTTAATTTTACAAGGAAGAAAATGAAAACAAACAAATGTATGACGTACGATTTTATTGTTTTAAATGTTTACGCCTTACGTTTTCTATACCGGAAATATTGATCCAATAAAAAAAATTACAAGAGACTTTTTTTTTGTATTTTTAATTTATTGGTACATAATTAAGTAGTTTTTTGATTTTCTATGTTATTTTTTTTAACAATCGAGTAAACCTAGGAAAAACGTAGAAATAACGGAAAAGTTTACGGAAATAATGGTTTTATTATTTTCAATTTTGTGTTTTTGTTGTAATATTTAGTTTAAATCATAGAAAGTCAACATTTTGGCAAAAAACTTACATTTGATATTTTTAGAAAGCTTCTGAAACATTTAAGCTACTTAGAGACATATTAATTTCGCGAGTTTCTTACGTAATTTCTATTTGGTAGGTACTATAATATGTAGATAAATTGTTAAACTTAACATTATAATGCTTGAAATTTGATTGGAGGTTCATTTTAATTCGTACTGAGTGGTAAAAAAAAAAAAATTAGTTTAATGTAGTATTTTTTGTTTTATTTTTTATACAAGTTTTAAAATCAAATTTTGACGAAAATCGTGAATATCACGGCCTTTCAAAACATGTATAACCGAATTTCGTTCCGAATCGTTTTTCGTTAGAAATGATTAATCGTCGGTTAGGTTGGACTATCGTTGGTTACAGGTATAATTGTATAAATTAAATAACTTTATGTATCCCGCCTTCCCCACTACAACAGTGGCCACAACCGTCCCCAATACCTATTAGCTATTTTTATTGTTGTCACAGATTATTTTTTTTTCTTCATGGTAATACATATATGTTTAAAACATTCTAGCGATTTTTAAGTTATTTACAGATATTTAAATTTTTCGAATTTATATTTGGTAAGTACTCTGTGGATAAAATTGTTTGACTAAACAAAAAGTTCATTATAAGTCGTAACTTGTAGTAAAAAAAAAAAAAAAATTTACTTTAATGTAGATTTTTTTTTTTATAAGAATCTTAATATGAAATTGTGTCGAAAACCGTAAATATTACGGTTTTTCAAAACATGTATAATCGAACTCCGCCCAGAATCATTTTTCATTAGAAATGATTAATCGTTGCGTACAGATATATATTAATTTACCCTCTATGTTTTATCTTCACAACTTTTACCTAGAACAGTGTCCCACCTATCGCGTGAAATGTGCCTGTCTTTTTTTTATAATAGTGTTTTATGATAAAATTTTGTCGTCGAATCTTGCGTACAAGTAGGTTTATCATAATATGATATATTATCGTAGTGCTATATCGTCATGATACGAACACCGGAACACATTGTCCCGTATACATTGTAACCTATTAAATATCATTATAATTAAAAATTCCAATTAGTTACTCATATTCTATAAAATAATTATATATTAATCGCGGAACAACAGATTACAAATGTATAATGCGGATTAACAGTAGTAGCAGTAGTAGTAATAAAGTATATTTAGATAATACAATGTGCACAAATTAAAATAGTTAAGGCGTTGACGTTTAAAGTATAAATAGGTAACATAAATTCATAAATATATACAATTAATTCGTTTATCGGATAAACCGATTACCATATTTTACATTTTTTTTTCATAGGATTCATCCGTGTACCTTTAGCGCATTTCCACGCTTGGCTAAATTCTTCGGAGTTTGTCAGCCCTGCGATTACTCGTATATAATTTGGACTGTGTTCGTTCAACAGGCTTTGTGACAGCGAAGCTACTGTCGAAGATTCACACCAAATCTTCAGGAAAAAAAAAAAAAAAAACATTTGAGAACTAATAACAATTATAATGTTATTGCCGACGGTTATATACACGGGTACGTGCCAATACCGCCGTCGAAGTAGTGTTTATATTGAACTATTAGTTACGGCTAGTAGACGTCTACTCGGTTTTAACATGCACATCATACGGGAAATTATGATTGTTCATATTTTGCGCATAAACGATTACAGGAGCATAAAAATTGTTAAGCACCTAAATTATAGATTAAACAATAATTATTATATGTTATAAAAATTTAAAATTACATTTTATTTTTAATAAAAACGATAATCTAATATTGGTACCGATGATCAAAATAATATGTGATGTATTACTAATAAACACGGTAGGTAACCACATTTTTGTTTTGATTTTTGGGGCAAAAATAATATATTGTTTTTTTTGAAAATAACATGTAATTTTAAATTTTTATAACATATAATAATTATTGTTTAATCTATAATTTAGGTGCTTAACAATTTTTATGCTCCTGTAATCGTTTATGTGCAAAATATAAAAAAAAAAAAAAAACATAATTTTCCGTACGATTTACATGTTGATTACAATGTAGTTTACTATAAAAGCCACTTTGACGATAAGAGTACCTGGTACCTAAATGACGTCTATGTGTGGAGAATAAGAGAAATCAATCATTTTTCAGAAACCATCAGAAAATAAGAGATTACAATAGTTAGGGTACGTAATACGCACTGAGAAATCAAAAGTCACTTTTTTATACAATTTCGAAAATAACATTCGGAAGACCGAGAATAAGATAGAAAGACGTGCCCAGGATCGATTGGAAAATGCTGATGTCAGATGTAGATGGCTGGAGGCTCGGATGTATATGATGACAATACCAAACGCTAGAGATTCATAAAATGACTTACATTTGCAAAGGCCAAAAAGTATAATTGTTCACTGGTGAATTCTTCTAATCCTGGTAGTTTTGGTTCTTCGCCGTATTTGGCTACATATTTCCTGTACGCCCATAACGCTTCTCTAATTCCACCGTTATCAGCAATATTTTCGTCCAACGTCAATTTACCGTTTACCTAAAACCGTACGCTATTATAAATATAACGTTCTATCAAAACATTACGCTACAAAAAGTGAATAAACTTTCCGTCGATTCGGTAATGGTTGATTTTCAGATATTGATCGGCAATACCTTTTCCTCGATTCTGGACACTAAATAAGATTCGTAGTGTTCGATAAAACAGTTTGTGCGTTTATTGTATTCCTCTATGGTTTGTTTTGTCCACCACATATTTTCGTTTCCATTTAGGTCGTATTTATGACCACTGTTGTCGAAACCGTGAGTTAACTCGTGTCCGAGTATCGAACCGAGAGAACCATAGTTGAGGACGCTACATAGAAAAAAAAAAAAATTGTCAACTCTCCTGGCGGTGTTCAATAACTAATGAATATTAAATCGATATTCTTACTTTAAATCGTAGCCAAAGAACGGGAATTGTAATATTCCAGCTGGTATAACTATAAAAATATAAATACAAATATTGTAACATATTATACGGACATTATTCGTTTAATTATTGTTCAAAATAGTTATACTTATTGCATTTGCTTGGATAAAGTTAAAAGCATTTACTTCTAAAGGATTTGCTGACCACCTAACAAAAAAAAAAAAAATCTTAAATTATTTTGTAACTGCGATGTGGTAATATATTAATTATAATAAATAAGTATTAACTTACGAGAATACCGAATAATCGTTTGGTATTCTAAAGGCTAATAACGAGTTATTAAATTCATTTTGCACGTAGCGTATGACGTTTCCAAAATAATCGTTTTCAATCACTTCAAACTATATAAATACAAATATAAAAATATTAATATTGAAACGATCATTTTTTTAATAATAATTTTTTACGATATACATCTGCGTAGTAGTTGTCAATGTCAACGGTATCTTTAATAAACTCGGGAAATCCGACGTGCATTTGCATATTTTTTGCTTTGTGCAGAGTAATTTTCTTAGTCTCGTCGTCCATCCAATTTAGTTCTTCGACTATTTTTTCAAACGCGAAATGAATGTTCTTCATCATTTCTATGACCTGTACAAAATATCCCGGTATTATGTATTGTACATACCATACAATAACTATTATAATAATGTATTACGTTTCATATATTTTTCCCAATGAAGCACCTACCATATTTTGATAACTGTTTATCAATTCCACGTCCATTAGTAGACGAGAAACGGCCATCCCCATCATTTTGTTCACGGCTTCGGCACAATATATCGATCTAGACGGATTGTTTTCCAATCCCTGTATATCGTACAAGTATCTGTCTTGTAAGAATCGCATCTGATTGGTGGTGTACGGTATTAGAGTAGTGACGACGTCCCACCACACGGCCGTTACTAGAACGTACAAAATGATATCGGTAATGATATCACTGACTATTTGATAATAATATAATATATTATCGTTTTTAGTTATATTTACTCATTTGGCTTTCTGGGATGGTGACTAACAGTTTGAATAAATCGTCAAAATATTCGATGCTCATTATTTGAATTGTTTCGTTTTCAAAGTCTAACTCAATGTTTTCTTCCACGTCCGCGAATAAGGACGTGAAATATTGTTTCCAATCAATCTGATTTGCACGTAAAACTTGTATTACTGTTTATTTTAAATTGTTTGCAATTAAAATTAACAATGTACGTCAGAACATGTAAATTTGTGTTATACATTATAATACTCCACCAAGTACTAGTTATATTGTTTCAGTGATATATGAACTATATTTTTTTTTAGATTCTATGCAAAGCGAGAAATGCGTTGGTTTTACTAATATACTATGCTGTGATTTTTCTTTTTTAAATTATTTTCTTTTGTCTAAAAATAAGTATAAATTTGTTTTAAATTTAAGGAAATTTAGTGACGAAAAATAAATCAAAATAAAAACGTCGGTTTTTGTCAAAATTGATTTTGGTTTTGAGCTTATTAGCTTTAGAGGGAGTCATTTAAAGTGTATAAATTAGCGGGACGAAAATGCAGTAGGCTTCAATAGTTTCTATTTTCGCGAAGAATTTTATTAAAAAAGTTGAAAGTACCTATACGTTTTAAAGTTCCATTGTTTTTTTTTTTTTTTTATAAACATTTGAATTAAAAATGTTTACCAAACTCGTAAAAATCAAGGGAAATTGTTGATTATTTTATAGTTACTGGAATTTTTATTTTAAATTTGACAAAAACTCACTATCTACAGCAGTTACTTACCCACAGGCAGTATCAGTTTGTAAAAATGTTTAAAATTAATAAAACGATATAAATGGCAACTTACAGTTACTCCATTTTTCCCAGAGTAGTTCCGTGTAATTTCATCAGTATATTCCTGTAATTCGTTGACAGTCATAAATGTCGGTAGCTCTAGATCAGATTCATATACTTTGTCATTTATCTAAAATATAATGTTATCAGGTAACTTTCATTTATATAAATAATTATAATATTAAGACTGGTTTAACATTTACTTCTTTCAGTCTATTTATAAGCATCAGCACGTCTTTTATTAATTTTAATTCAGGGGGAGCATGGTAGGAATTGGATATATGCGAGTGATGTTCAACAATCTCCTGCCAAATTCCTTTAAAATACTTTTCATACGATTTTAAATTTGGATTTAGTTTGTTTTCTTTATTTTCGTTCTCGGTATTATCGTAGTCTGGTGTCAACAGTTCTCGTTTTTTTTTTGAATTCATTCCGTTGATTTTCCTTAATATTTTATGACTTAAACAGTATAAACATAACACATATTATATAAAAATGCTCAATACGATAATATTTTTAATTCTTACACTGGGAACATATTGTTATCCATTGGTTTAGACAGCGTAATTTTATTTAATGTCCGATTTTTACTATACGGTGCAACTCTGGTTGAAAACAAATAGTCTATGTTAAGTTGCTTTTTGACATTGGCTAAAATTAATGATATGTTTGTACTCGAATCAGTTTGTCCAGAAGAACTATTGTTTTGCGTGAAACCTAGGTACGGTAGACCGATTTGATTTAAAAACTGAAACATTTTTTGAATTCCGGCAGCATCCATTTCATCTAAATCATATATCTATTTTATCAAATAGATTGTTAAAAATAATATTACGGAATAATATTTGGACCTACCTGTGGCTGTACACGACCGGTACAAAAGTCTGGCTTGCGACAAGGCATACGGGTCATCGTCAAAGTCTTCTTTTTCCATGAAATCTAAAAATAAAATAAAATACTTAATCAAACTATTAACGCGTTGATAAGTAGTGAAGTATAAACGAGCATGATCCCTTACCACTGATGGACATAAGCATTCCAGTTTTTACTTCATAAAATCTATTGTTTGAATGAGACGTTTTCGGTATTCGATGTCTGTTCCCATAACGCCCGCAAGCGAATTGGTAAAAATCTTCGCACGGATCTACAGATCTATTCATTGACTCGGCATACAACGTGGCTAAATAACGTAAATATTTTTTTTTTAAAAATACCGTACTACAGATGCACATTAAATATCTTTTAACGTTTTATACAAATATTTTTTTAATAATTTCACTGACCAGATTTTAAACAGCTTTCTGTTGTACATGTTTTCGGGTTTTGATTTACTGCTTTTGAGTCTATTATACCTAGATACGAAAATATACAATTAAAAAGTATCAAAAAGAGTAAAAAGAATCATGCACTTTTATATATGTTATGAGCAAACCATTTTGGCGTTTTTTACAACGCCCGGACGTCATATCAAATGCCCAACATATATTGGACATTACAGACTTTGTAGGTAGTATTCAATTTATGTTTTATTATAGTTGTTCTTTGATATAGTAGGTAACAAAAATAAGCTATCAATTTAATTGCTCGTCCGAATGCGACGCGTATCAACAGAGATGATATTAGTGTTTATTGTTATAATAATTTCCGTTCAATCATTATCATAATGCCCCTAATCGATAGAAACTATCTAACATAAAATTGACTATTTATTCAGGTGTTATCGTTTATATTGTGCAGTTCACACTCGTACTTCGAGTTTATTTCATGTGGAAAAGTTTCGTGCAAATTTAAATGTTCTGTTGAAAAAAAAAATTCAAGTACTACATATTAAACAAAGTTGAAATATATTTAATTCATTTTACACATATTTCAATTAAAGAACAAGGCAGAAAAAAGAAGTGGAATAATTATAAGCTTTTGAAAAAATATGAACACTATCCAAATTATTTAATTTTGAGTGGTCAGGGTTGCGAGTGATGTACGTATGCACGAAAATGCTAACACAAAAGTGCAAGTGTAAAGCTGTGAGTGAATATGCACATTAAAATGCTACGGATGCCGGAATGCAGTACATTCGATAATAAATGATGAAAGAAAAAAAAATTATAAAAATAATGATGTAATTTAAAAAAAAAGCTAATACTGAAGACCGGTGTGCTACTGTTGTAGATGGGAGTTTTTACTAGGAATTTTTTAATGTCTAGGTATTGTAAAATACGCCAAAATTGTATAAGTACTTTGCCGGTAACAAATACGAGTACATTCACTAATTTTCAAATACTCACTGGCGTACCATAGTATTCCAATTATAGATATAACGACCACTGTGATTAGGAGTATTACTAATGTAGATAGTTTGTAGTTCGATCTTCGGCTTCCGAATTTGTTTTTGAACCTGTATGCATTTTTTACAATATTTTAGAACAATGCGTACTGGAAAATTACATTTTATTGTTTTTCATTTCTTCTTTTTGTTTTGAAACCATAAGTCAGAGCATGTAGCTTGTAGTGTTTGCAAAATATTTTAGCTAAAGACTTTAGTAAGTTATACATTTGCTTGAGATAGTTACTAAACCAAGAAGTCAAATTATAAAGTCAAAAATATAAAATTGTTAAGTTCATATTTTTGCATATTTCAAAGTGCTGATGATATTTTACTACTTTTTAACTTTTTTAGTACTTATTAACTAATCACTTAAATTAATATTTTTAAGAATATAACATTGAACTTTTTTTATGAATGAACTCTCGCTAGTTATTGACACAATCTTATAAAACCATTTCAAGACCCGATTGAACGCATCTACTCTTGCTATGTTTTTTTTAAATACTCGAGTTATGGTTAATTGACTTTATTAACTATGAAAAATATGGCCGCTGTTCGGCCTACCTAGTACCTAGAATCTATAGTCCGATAGGATAATTATTTAGATTAAGTGTCTATAAATATTATACCTACATAATTCTGTAAATTACATTTGGTATTTTAAATTCGTTTTTATTCTATGCAGTTATACATTTGATTGCAATAAGTTATAAACAATAAAAATGTAAATGATATATGAGCGTCCCTCTTAGCGCCCACTCAGAAAAAAGCCTCTTCAAAATAAAAATGCTCACAAGGAGGCGGTAGAGCCCACGTTGGGAATCACAAGTCTAAACGTATTAACCCAACATCCTAAAATAACCAGGTAGCTATGAATGTTCACAAATGATAATATTGTTCAAAAACACGTAGTCGAATATTAAAAACATTGTGTTGTTTATAAATGTCCAGGTACGAAAATGCCTAAGTAGTATTTGTAGTAAATACAGATTCTAGGACAGATAATAATTGTATACTGAATATTAATAATGATAATTTACAATATTTATAATAAATAAATTATTAATAATACGCGTTTTAATTACTTCAACTCTTTTTTTTTTTTTCATCAGGAATTTAACGATCGTTCACAATGAGTGATGTTCCAGCACAACGTAATTTTCAGTTTGGTTAGTGACCGTAGAAGGACATTGATATATCATTATATTATATTTAATGATACGAGCGTTTAATTTAAATTATTTTGTGTTATTTACGAGAGTGATTTTATTATTAACGATTTGTTACACTTCTGAAGATGTGCAATACATAATTAAAATTAACAACAGGGAAATAGTCATGATTTCATGGATATTACAATTGTATAGTCATTTTTAATATCTATACAATAATAATTTATACAAATTAAAATAAAAGGCCTTTGCAGTACTGTGACTTTTGTGTATTTAATAATTTTCAATAACTATTGATATAATTATTATTGATATACATATATATAAAAAAAAAAATCAAAATACTGTAGGTTAATAAAAATATTTAGTAACGTATAGACTATAACTCAACTCCGCTAAGTACACTAAATTCAAACACAAACTCTACTCTGAATTTTGGACATTTTCGGAAAAATTATCAAAATAATTACGCTTAACGATTATTAGTGCAGAGTACACACGAATAAAACTTGTTAACGTTTAGTTAAATATGAATGAATTATTACGAATTATTATGAATATTATTATTTATCATTAATTCACTTACAATTTCGAATAGCCAGCTTCGGGATCAATATTGGGTTCGTCGCCTTTCAGTTTACTTTTCGTTATATCGTCATCGTCGTCTGTTGGATCCAAAAACAAAAAAAAAATGTCAATTTTATTGTCATGGGCGTTTTCAGTAATTTCCATTGGGGGGGGGGATAATTTCTAGAAAAATATTTGAGGTAATAAGAAAAACCCGGTTCTTTAGGTAAAAAAGAGTTGAAAGATTAAAAATAAGGATATTGTCGTTGGCAACCGTTTTTATTTATTTTTTGTTATTATTAAGTTTTTATTATTTTAATCGTTTTCAAACAATCATTGTTGTCATGGAAACGCGCATTGTAATTATTTTACCATAATATGACATATATATATATATTGTGTAAAGCAACACTACCAACTGAACTAAGCTCAGAATCGTTTTTTCGTTGAAATGGTTTATCATTACTTACAACATACATGCTTACATTTGTCTATCTTTTCAACTTCTCATTTACAACAGTGGCTGCGCCCATGTGCGAAGTATGGTAAAATAATTACAACAATGCACGTTTCCGCTTAACAACGATTGTTTAAAAAATATAAAAATAATAAAAACTTAATAACAAAAAATAAGTAAAAACGGTTGTCAATGACAACCTTATGTTTAATCTGAGATTTAATCTTTCGATCTTTATTAACCTAAAGAACTGGGTTTTCCTCATTATCTCGAATATTAATGGGAATTTCAAAAAATGACCTCTCTAAAGTACCACCCAGAGAACATTAATTTCCTTTCAGAAAATGTGCTCTGCTTGGAAATCGAATTAAGGTTTCTGGTAGAAAATGTCTTTATATAGAAAAAAAATATACATCTTTGTAAAACCAATACATTCTTCTAAACTCAGAATCTAAAAAAATAAAAACATAGAATTTAATGCACTTTTTATTTTCAATAATTTATCAATAATTGTTTGGTGTAACAAATATATTTATATTGTAACTGTAAATATAAACTAGACGATGCAACAATGAATTTTCACACCCGTTAACAAATTTTTTAGCAAAATTTTAGCAAAAAAAAAACAGCTAATGGAGGGGGTTTAAACCCCATGACCCCCCTCCATGAGTACACCAATGGAGACACGGTTAATAAAGTTTCCACTGTAATTTTTTTACGAATATAGTATGAAATTTTATGTGAAGCGAGGTATTTTGGGTTAGAGTATTAAATTTTCGAATCGTTTAAAAAAAAAGTTCAACACCTCTACCTATTTAGCGTTCTGTCTTATTTAACATCTCCAGAAAAAATAACATTAATTTATAAATTAATAAATGTATTTATTTTTGTAACATTATTTAATTATTTTATACAGAATAAAATAAATATACAATTTTATAATAACATAAATATATATTCCAAATATAATATCATAAATATAGATTATGTTCGGACGCTTGGATATTCTGGATTTACCCAGGGACAAATAATGAAAACCCTAATGTTTACCCCCCGGAAATAAGGACGAAAATAAATAATGACGGTGTACCATTTTAGGTCCGCTTGCTTTTTAAATTATCAAGACTTTTTTTTTTTTTTATGATAAAAGACCGTATACTTTGCGTAACGAGTTTTCAATGTTCAAATAATCGCCGTGTATACACAGCACACACTGTACATATTTGTCGAGGAAACGGCACGCTTTAAATTCTTCCTACGCGCAACTAGTGGCCTACCGCACTTCACCACAAATAAGCTTGTTTGTAAAATAGCAAGACGCCACAGTAATATTAATTATTGTATTCGTTGATAATTTGGTCGTCACGGACAACGCGGTGCGGGATCGCGTATCTATTGGTACGAACACGTCAAGTTCAAATGTAATGATAATATGACGCATTATCCCATTAACCTTCGAACGGGTGCGCTATTTTCTGAAACAAGAATAGTTGCGTGTTGTGAATTGTACAACAGTCCTAATACGTTGCGATCGTACACATATTAATAATACTAATAATAATAACTACAAATACCGTATTAATACTGGCAGTAATAAGATAAAAAACAATACGTTCACAAAGTGGTTTTTATTTAAATTATTATATAACAAATAAATAAAACAAACAGTGAATCGTTCGGAATTGCTATCGTCGTTATTAGTACACTGTTCACATATCGTATACTTCTTTTGTTTTTTTCTTAAGTGCCTTACATACAAAACCTCATACGCTCGGTGCACTTCACAAACGCTGCCGCATTTTTTTTCCTTCCACATTTGAAGCGCGTTCCCCGTTTTGAAGGGGGAGTTATAGACGGGTGGGCACCTCTATGGGGAGGTACACGGAACAGCGCATGTTGTATTCGGCGACAACACGTTTAATTTGTCTGCAATAAAGCGAACCAAAACACTTCAAAAATAGTCTGAAACGTAGATCACGTAACATTTTCGACGAATACCCACGACCGCCAATAAGATAAAAATAGAATATAAGTAAAAAAAAAAAAAAAATTAAATTAATAAATACGTAACTGTTGTACAATTTACGACAACGCGCCCGCTGAAAGGTAATTACATTAACCGATGTTCAAAGTAAATCTCGTTATTATAACGTTGGACGACGATAAACGATGATTAATACCAATCAATTAAGATTTCGGGTTTTTTTTTTTCCACTAATGTATTTAGTGTATACTAAATAAATAATAAAATGATTATAGGTCGATAAATAATTATTTTAAAGATTTTTATTAATTTTTTTTTTTTTTTCTAAAAAATTTAATTAGTTTAATTGATGTACACAAATTAATGAAAAATCCAAATAAATAATTCGAACAATCTAATCTGGGACCTTTAGCACAACGCGTCAGTAAAATTACTTATTATACTGAACGAACGTCGTGCATTACATTATCATAAGCAGTTACGTTTTTTCACGGCTTGATAAAATAATGTTTATACATTTTTTGGACTGATCGTGTTTTAATATAACATAATTATATTTAATATACTGCACAAACGAACCGTACTATCATACTCTTCTGCAGTTACGAATATTGTTATTGCGATCAGTCGGATTTATTACCTACGTTTCTTACAGCGTTATTCGCTCGGCTTAAAATACGATTCTGGTGAGTATGGTGCACTCGTATTTAGCGGAAATCTGTGAAAAACAAAATTAGTTCCACCGAACCGTTAATGGATTTTGGATGTTAACGACACACGGCGTGTCTCTCAAACACATATGCACGTCGGAAAGCTCGATGCAATTTCAATGTTCGAAAACAATATAGTATGCGATGGTTAAAAATTTATATTTGAATGAGATTTACTTTAAAAATAAATGCCGACTTGTTTAACGATAACACGGACAATATTGACTTAGTTATGTACGCAGTACAATACAATGTTATTGTCAAAGTCGAATACTTGTTGAACTTATTTATGTATGAATGAAATGTACGCGATTGCGTTATTGTAAGTAGGCGGATTTAATGTGTTTTAATAAATGCCAGCAACAGACTTACTCATTTTTTTGATTCAACCGTAGATTTTTTTTTCTGCGATGCCCACCCCGCGACTCGTAAATTTATATGCACTAACACGTTTATTATTTTCAGTGACCGTCGAGGTATGGACTACAATCGTGTATAGTCGCGCGTTGACTGTGCGTCGGCTTTTGTCCAACTGAAACGTCCGACTGTATTAATATTTTTTATCGCGTGGCGTATTTTTTTTTTAGATTCTATGCGGCGCGAAGAATGTATTTTTTCTTCACGCCCGCTTCATAATTATATTATAGGTTTACATCGCGCTTTTATGCTGACAGTTTTGCCAACAAAACAAAAATACACTTAATAATATATGGTGGCCTACTCGGATAATATCGTCTTTTATTATCCGTTGATATCTAACCGCGTATAAAATCACGTTGCGTTCCCGTATACCAAATTTGTCTGCGGGTACTGACGACTATCGTTCATAATAATATTATAATGTGAGTCACAACAGAATGACCATAATATAGTTGCAGATGTACAACCGTAGATACTATTCATTTATATTGTCCACGGTCCATTCGGACAAAACTAATAGAATACATGGCCGATGCACTTGTTCGTAAATTTCAAAACAATAGCTGGGAAACCGTAAAACCAAAGGCCAACGTGAAGATTGAAGAATTTTTACTTAGGATAAGCAGGCAGTAGTAACTGTATTGACACCTCGTAGGTTACACGCAAGAGTTGTTCTCTGCCCTGCTATAGTGAAAGACAGTATCTACAAAAATGCAAATTTTGGGAAAATAGGTTTCTATTATTTTTTACATTTTTTTCCTGTTATCAAATTTATAATTTGATTATTATTTGTAATTATTTACCTCGGTAAGGACAATTTTATTTTTCCTTAATCAAATATTTATGCCTTTTTGGCAATATTAAGTAGATACTGCATTTATAAGTCAACAAATATTACAAAATATTGTCTCTTTTTTAAAAAACATAACAACAGCAAATTATGAACATCATAGTTTAATCACGTATGTGTTTAATTAGTAAAAACCCCTTTTTATAATTAAGTGTCATTCTTAGGAACCTAGATAATAATGATGATTAATAAACAAAGGATAAACTGATATGATTAAAGGATCATAATTTAGTCTGTGTGTTACATACTATTTTTAATATTCATAATATTTATACCTCTAAAAAAATTTATGAAAAATTAACTAATTCCGACAAATCAAAGTTTGGAACAAACTCATTGAAATATGTATACTTTATGGAACTATTAAATGTAAAATTAATTGTAATTACAACTCACTGTTGGTCGTATAATTTATTGTTACTAGATTACAAGATACATACGCAGTATGTTTATTGCCAAATAAATTAACTAAACGTATAAGCACACGCACTAAAAAACCTATTATACTGCGTTTTTTTCTAGACCATACATTTACTGCTTATTTTTGTAGTACTCGGTGATATTTTGGTAGATATTACGTATTCGATTTTCATTTAGAGGGGCTAAATGATGTTTTACTACATTTTAATCTAGAAAAATGTATGTAAAACGGCCTATAATTAACGATATTCTACAATAATCTCCTTTATGAAAAATTGTTGGTTACTGCCTTTCACATTGGCAGGGCATTAACTGGCCTGTCATGGTTTCAAATTTGAGAATAATAACATAATCGATATTATGTATTCTCAAACGTGAAACAGCAGATGATTTTGTTATAAAAGAACTGGCGTCGGGCCAGGCACAGAATGACTGTGATATCGAAAAAAAAAAAAAAAAAAAATTAAAAACGGGTTTTAAACGTTTTAAATATAACGTGATACGCAATTGCATTCGCTCGGGTTCACGTTCAATGTCAAAAACATCGTATCGTTAACACATTTATTTTTAATGAATTGCCTATTGGACGACGTCAAACAAACACCATCTGGCCGTTCTTAAACTAAAGGCGTTACACATTTGGTGCACATTTAATCGTTATTAATTTGCGTAGACCATTGTTGTTATTCCGCTCAAACGTCGGTAGATATGTGACAGTTTAATCGATCTCGTATGAAAAATAATATCGAAGAGACGAGACGCCTATAATAATATGCGATATTTGCGATACAAATTTTGCGCTGTTTCATGTTCGACCGAAAACTGCAAAGAATGCATTCTGACGTCAAATCAGTTCAACTTAATTATAACATTCTAACAATATTAAATATAGCCTAACCTACTGGCACACTGTGCAATGCTCAGTATCTCTCCGAAAAATATTTCGATAGTTACCTGTTTTTAAAGATATCTACTCCGGATACGGTTTTCAATATGATTTTGGAAACATTCGTTTCCGTCTATTAAACTACACACATACAAAGGGAAATGACCAATTTTATTAAAACTGATGTGTAAAAAATAATGCTATTGCCAAGTATATAATTGAATATTCGAATTATGACTAAATTGCTATTTTGTTCTTAATTGTTTGTTACGTTAAATATTTTATCACGAAAAACTTAAAAACATTTTGTACGTTTCCTGGTATACCAGGAAAATTCCTGTAAATATAGATAATTCAATTAAATTTAAATTATGAGCATACAGGACGATTAGAATTTTATGATACAAATATTTTTTCCTATAAATTTAGAAAATAAAGAAAAATATATAATACAAAAGATTTATAAACATCTAAAATAATTTGAATATATTTTTTATTGTCTTTTTCGAGGGTAAACTTTTAAAATCAAAATGGAAACCTATATTCAAAATTTCATAAATAGATGCATATAAGTTTTTTTTTTTTTATTTCCGTCAACTCGTTGACGAGATATTCCACTTTTTAGTTGAGGTAGAGGGGGAGTAGTGGAACACTATATGCACTTGTGTGATGGCACGGCACGGTGAGTGGCGTTTAAATATTTATAGAAAAAAATTGCTGTTACATAAAATTCTGATCACTCTGTAGTCTGTATAAGTCATATTATATTATGCGGACATACCTATAGGGTATAATGACGTATGTATAATATAATCTGGGTAGGCATTTATGTCAAATATTTGAACTTAAAAACGTAAACAATGAAACGATTGTCAACGCTATCGAACATTGTTTTGATTCGAGAGTGCTTTTTATAATCGAAATTTGTATATTCAGTAGGAAGGTATTTCTATTCTGGCGAAATCGATTAAATATTAGGTATATATTTTCGAACAGATATACGTAAAACGGTAATTCATAAACAAGGTTGGACTAGAATAATAAATATTTTTCGTTATTCGGTACCGAACTTTTGGTACGGCCGGCCTTTTACGAAGAAAAAAAAAACGAACAAATTCAAGATCAATCTCATTATTGTATCCCGAAAAAATAATAATAATTACAATAATATACATACACAAACAAATGTACGTGGCACAGAAGAAATAGTGTGTAATTAATTCTCAATGTAGACTGCAAAATCACGTATATATAGAAGTTTTCTACGTACTAAATATTATAATAAGTGTTGTTTTGCATAAGCCAGTTTAAAAATTCAACGTCATAATGTACTTACTATAGGGTGAACATTGACCAAATATAAAAAAAATGAAAAAACAGGACAATATAATTTCAATAATATAATATTCAAAATAATATTTATTAATTATTATAGATTTAATTTTTTTGTTTGTTAATATTTCATAATTATTATGCCTATACTATTTTAAATACACCCGTATTAATACAATACAATCTTATTTTCTGTGAAGCCATTATTTTTAAGTACGTATACTCGCGACGACTACGTACTATGACACTACGTGCAATATGCAACTGCAAAACGAAACTAAATTGAGTCATATTGCCCACCTAAACACAAAATTACGCAGACACAGTTTGAAAATTTCTTTAACTCCTTTGGTTAATACTTCGTCATAGGGGGGGACTTAAATGCCAAACACCATTCATGGGGTTGTCATACATCTAACCCAAAAGGGAAATCTCTACTAAAAACAATTAACAATAAGCAATTATCTGTTCTTGCCCCTCCTAACCCTACATACTGGCCTTCATCACTAAGAAAACGCCCGGATATTCTCGATATATTTGTTGTCCAAGTCCCTCCAAGATTGAATCATCTAGTTACAAACTTATTGGACCCGTGTTCCGACCATTCCCCAGTTCTCTTATGCTTAGACGCCTCACCTTATCTCCAACCTGGTAAACCATCACTGATAAATGGTGTTATGGACTGGGAAAATTTTCGTGATATAATTAATCAAAGAATAAAATTAAATATAAGTCTGAAATGTCCAAGTGATATCGATGACGCTGTTCTTAATTTTACTGAAATCATCCAGTCAGCTGCGTGGAACTCCACCGTCCACCGGAAGAAAAATGATAGCTCTAACCATTTGCTANAGAGGAGAGCCAGAGCCCGTTGGCAAAGAACAAGACTTCCATCTGACAAAAGTATTTATAATAAGCTAACCTGGTCACTTAAACGTATCCTGCAACATCTAAGGAACGAATCCTTTAATAACTGGATTGCATCCCTAACGACCAGGGACAACTCGCTCTGGAGAGCAACACGTAATTGTTTAAAACAAAAGTCCGCCCCAACTTCCTTAAAAAAATCCGATGGTACTTGGTGCAAATCAGATAAAGAGAAAGCTGAACTTTTCTGTTCTCACCTTTCGGAAGTTTTTAAGCCTCACCAACCAACTTCTAACGTCACCTTCTTGGAAACAATTGAAAACTCTCTTAATTCAACCCTGCCACTTTATCTCGCTCCCAAACCTTTTTCACCAGGTGTGGTTCTTCGTTTTATAAATACGTTTCCACTGAAAAAGTCACTCGGTATAGACCTCATCACAGCTGAGGTAGCTCGACAACTGCCAAAGACGGCTTTAATTCACCTAACCCACATCTTAAACTCTATCTTGAGGCTATCGTACTTCCCCATTCAATGGAAAGTATCCCTTATAATCCTAATTCCCAAGCCTGGCAAACCTCCCGATACTCCATCATCTTATCGTCCAATAAGCTTACTTCCTTTCTTTGCAAAACTGTGTGAAAAAATGATCCTAAAACGAATATCCAATATAATTAACGACAAAAAAATTATCCCCTGCACGCAATTTGGCTTCCAAGACAAACATTCCACTATCCATCAGGTACACCGCCTTACTGACTCAATTGCCTACTCCTTAGAAACGAAGTCACACTGCTCAGCTGTCCTACTCGATGTTGCCCAAGCCTTTGACAGAGTCTGGCATCCTGGTCTCTTACACAAGCTGAAAATAATTCTCCCTCCACCGTATTATTTATTTTTTAAGTCATATCTCGAGGACAGATTCTTTGCCGTTAAAGTTGGCTCTGAAATCTCAAATTTGGCCTCAATCCTTGCTGGTGTTCCTCAAGGCGCCATCTCTTCTCCCATATTGTTTAACATATACACATCGGATCAACCAACCACTTCTCAAACTTCTGTAGCCGACTTCGCTGATGATAAAGTTATATATATTTCCGAAAAAAACCCATTTCTTGCCAGCCAATATTTGCAGAACCATCTAAACCTACTCTCTGATTGGTATTCCAATTGGAGAATTAAAATAAACAATGACAAATCATCCCACATCACCTTCACTCTCAAACAATCCACAGTACCTCCAGTTTATTTAAACAATAAAGTTATTCCTTCCTCCTCTAATGTTAAATATTTGGGTCTCACTCTCGATAAACGACTTAACTGGGCCTTACATATTAAGCAGAAACGTCTCTTGCTAAATGCCAGACGAAGAGCGCTCTTCCCACTTATAGGAAGACAAGCAAAAACTGACCTAAAAACTAAACTGCCACTGTACAAAACCCTTCTCAAGCCAATTTGGTTATACGGTATCCAATTGTGGGGTGCAGCAAAAAAGTCTAATACTTACAAAATCCAAGCATTCCAATCGACCTCATTGCGAATGATTACAGGCGCTCCTCCGTATGTTTCAAACCACGCCTTACATTCAGACTTAAAAATTTTAACTGTCCATGAAGAAGCCAAAAATGCCTATAGACTTTTCCGCGCGCGTCTTACAAACCACTCCAATCTACTAATCCGTGCCCTAAACTCCAATTCCATTCCAGGTAATCCACCTAGAAGGTTAAAACGTAACTGGAACCGTGACCTATAATAGCCCTCTATAGTCAGTAAGTGTTGCCGCTGGGTGATTACTTCCTCATGTCGATCTCGCCTTTTTTATTTTTATTTTATTTATTTTTTTTTTTTCCATAATTCCTTAAACATGCTTATTGTAAAAAGTATTTACAGATTGTATGTGTTATAATAAAAATTAAAAAAAAAAAAAAAAAAAATTGAGTCTAAACTAATCTAATAGCTTTTTCCCCCGAAATCGTTTTATCATATCAATTAATTTATTTAAATTAATTAAATTAATATTTTAATTATGCGCTGTGGCCAAACACTAATAGTCTTTATCGGTTATTCGTTATTTATACCCGATAATGGATAAAAATAACCGGAAAATTAATTTTATTTCTCTACGTTTTTAAAATAAAAATAATTTAATCAATACAAATTGTAATTCGTAATAACTGCTTGCACCTCCCCAACAATGTGTATACGCTCCCCAAAGGGGGCGCGCCCCCTAGTTTGGGAACCAGTGGCCCAGATCTAAATATTATCACCGGTATCGATTCTTGTAGTTATTATTTTTTATGAACACAATCGCAATTACTATCATAGTCTATAACGAATATTTTTGTCAACACATTTGTTTTATTCAGAAATAAAATATAATTTTAATCTGGATGTTAAAACTACAAAATATGTATGTCTAATTAAATAAAATAAGAATTAATCCGGAATAATATTGGTGTCGTCATATAAAATACAGAATAAAACGCGTCCTGAAAGAAGTTCGTTAGGACAACAGGACGCAAAGCTGAAAATAAGCTGAATAAAATTCTGCATAAAGCATGACGTATAGTCATACCAACTTACTATATATTATGTTCGTAAACGCAATACTAATACTGTAAAATATCGTTTGCAATAGATTTATTATTATTAAAAAATAGTGCAATATCATATTCCATACATATGCAAGCGATGTTACATGGAAACATGTAACATCACATTTTAAGTTGAAGTAACGTAAGTGTAATATGCATGTGATTAGTAATACCAAAATACTAAATTATCACTGCAGACATTCAGAAAATATTGTTGAACTGGTTTATTAGAATGTCTTCGTACCATAATGAGAAATAAATATTATAATATATTCCAACGGAATGTTTATATCTTATCTAAATAGTGTTCCTTTGCAACTTACTCCTCTTGGATAAATAAGAGAGGGAAGTATCTATATGAAGGTACAGTTAATTTCAAAATATATATACATTCATTGCACACTGGGATGTTATTCAGACAATGTCTAAACTCTAAATATCCAGTAAAAGACATAAATCACAGTTTCCAGGAAAGAGGATGATCAGTCTAATTTATATTCGGAAAGGCGAACAATTTTAAGTATCTGGGTTCGTGAATATAAACATTAAAAAAACGAACATACTTCGCACGTTGATGCAGCCACTGTTGTGGGTGGGAAGTCGAGAAGAAAGGATACAGGCGGAAATTTAATGTATATCTGTAAGCAACGATAAACCATTGCTAACGAAAAGCGATTTTGAGTGGAGTTCAGTTGATAGTGTTGCTTTGTCAACAATATATTTATGTCATATTATAATAAAATAGTTAAAATGATGTACGTTTTCGTGACAATAATGATTTTTTAAATAATATTAAAATAATAAAAACTTTATAATAACAAAAAATAAATAAAAATGGTTGGTCCTAAAAAATCCTTTTTTAATCTAAAGAACCAGGTTTTCCTCATTATCTCGAATATTAATAAGAAAAAAAAGTACCACCCAGAGAACATTTCCTTTCAGAAAAGTTACTATACTTGATAAACAGATCAAACAGATAAACTTATCAACAGATAACGTATCAGTTATCAATAATTTAGGTATAACGAAATATTGCTGAACCATGGAAATGCATATGTGCCGGGTAGCTGAGTTTTGGGCGAACGACCATCTGGCTTGCCAGCCGTCCCTGACTGATTTCCGGTAGATATTCCATAACACTATCTTAAACGTTTAAATATTGCGCTAAATATTTTAAACATCTGTAGTCGCAGTTGCATGTAAGCATTATATTCGTATAACACATAAATAATTTATTGCAACTATGGCATCGTGCGAAACTGTATATTAATATAATATTAACAGTAGCTGTTCCGTCCGCCGTTGACCATGCTAATTTTTATTTAATTTTATTTTTACCCATATTCCTCTTTAGTTTTGACCGTGTCAGTATTGAATGGGAACAAATTGGTGGAAAATGGGTAGTCCACCTTCAGCGGACTAAAAGTGTTCAGTTGTAGCATTTTTTCATGGTTTTCATGCCATAAATATCTTAAAACCAAATTTTGGAGGGGATGGATTTTAAAGGTAGTAAAGCCTAATCTAACCTATCGGAGAGTGTGGACGCTCGATAGTAGGAGAGCACGTATATCGTATTGTAATCGTCATTCGCAGACGGCACGGCGTTCCTTTTATGCCTTTATGGGCGAATTTGTCGACAATTTATGTTTATATAAAATTAATAATATTATGGTGACCGTGCGATGAATTTCGTTCTTATTTCACAGAGTTTAATTAAACTTTTCGTGAAAAGGCCGATTTCAACGAGCTACCTATACTAATATTATCGGTCGTGAGTGCTCTCCGGAACAAGGAAGGTCGTTAAATTCGAGGTGTGACTGTAGATAGATAATAGTAATTGGCCATCTCTGTATAGAAATTAGTTCCAGTGGGTATTATACAGTATAGCTCTGGTAGGTATATTCCATATACCTACCAGATATAATTCGATATAATAATACTGTTCAAGGTGCTATTATTTAGTTGGTAATTCGATGAGGCCGATCGAGATTTACCCATAGGTATACCTACGAATGTTTCGATTATTTTTATGTTCACTTCAGATGAATTGAGCGTGGCGAAAACGGATAATAGTAATTACTACTTTTCCCCTGATGACTGCGACGATTTATTACATTATCCTATCCCGCAATGAGTTATATTTCTCCCATCAAAACTATTATGCCTACACGCCGTATAACATAAAAGTGTTATGCTACGATACGGTTTATTCGAAGGCATACGAGTCATTATTGCAGCTCATACAAATAAATATTAAAAATTCCATGAATAGATAGGAGTATTACTTTAAATAAATGTTGGTGTTAAAAATGTTTGATTTCCGTCAACCTGTTGATGAGATATTTTACTTTTAAGTTTAGGTAGGGGTAGAATAGTGGAGTATCATTTGTTTAGCGGCATGGCGGCAGACATTTTATTAATGTTTAACTACTCTCCACATGCCTAAATTTAATAGTAAAATACCTCGTCAACTCGGGATGACGTAATTCAAAAATTTTAACACCGACATTTATTTGAAATAATATTCCGTCTATTTATGGAATACTCCTTAAATGTTGTGAAAACCTAAGTATTTGAAAATATCAGCTTTAACTACACTTAATAATTCTAGAAATCAGAATTTGAATATATGCAAAATTTAACCAAAAATATGGGGTGAGCACACTTAGTGAATTACCCTATATAAAATAATGATCGACGCGTAACAAAATATGCACGTTATTGTGTACTGATTCTAATGAAGAAGACAATAAATGAATAAATTGGTTTTCATATTGCTGAATATTATGTACAATAATATTATCGCGTATAGATAAAATAAACTATGAAACAATGAAACTATTATCATATTAAATCGGAGCAATTAAATTTTGTTTTAGACGTTTTCATATTATGCTAGATTTTATTGCATGATGGACCTTAAGAGGGTGTGATATCCGAATGTGTTGTCTCTATCTTGACGACTATTATTACATAGTGAATTATTGAGCTTAGCAGGGACGTCATTATGCTGCTAGTTTTGATATTATAATGAATTGACTCATTATCAAACTTATAAATATAAAGATAAGAACAGTACAGTCGTTACCTGTGTAACGTTGGTGCTATTCGCCGTGTTTGAATTTTTAAGAGAAATGACGTGTGAAATATATATATATATATATAATCAAATAACATTTATGTCTCACTTGAAAATTAAAATATCGAAACAAATAATAAGCGCCGACGTTGCACAAACGATGTTCTTTGATGTTTTAATTGACTCTAGTGTTTACACTAAGAGCATTAAGTAATCACTGCTGAAAGCCAATTCGCTATACCGTACGTTTGTAAAACGAAAATAATTTATGCGGTTATCACGTCCTTTTAAGACGGTACGTGTATAACCTTAAAGCATTGAACATAATCTCGTATAATCCAATATACAGCAGTAAAACACATATTATTATATACGACCATTGGCTATCTAATAGATTTGATTGTGCGGAACAAGATTAATATTAATATATTGTACTTATATTTAATAATTAGTAATAATAATAATTTCGAAAGATAAAAACATTATTAAATTTACAAAAATCTTTCAATATAAATAAGAGACAATATGTATCACAAAATTCGGTAACAAATGATGGCATCTTATGTAACTTATAGCTATGATTTTATAGGCAAGAATACAATAATATATATATATTTAACGTTAACGCATATAAAATTTCGTTAATGCGACAACGTAGAGAATGACTAGATATTTTTAGAAACACTTATAATAGACGAATTGTTTTTTAGTTAATTATTCGATCGCTCGTTCGTTAGGTCTTCAAATAATAATAATCATATTGTTAATACTTCAAATCAGGTAATTAATAAACAACTATATTATGCGTGTTTTTGCGTATATATATATATATGTATGGGTAGCTGTATTTTCCGAAACGTAAATAAAAAGTAACAACGATGAGCAAAATAATTAATACTTAGTTAAGCCGAGAGAAAACCTTCAATTAAAAGTTAAAATATAAACAAAAGTTTCAATTTAACTCGGTTAAAAAAAAAAAAAATATATCGAAAACGTTTAGAATTCATCTACAAAATCGCTACATTTGAAAAGAATATCACGCTGTACAATGTATTGTAATGCCTATAACACCGAATTCCCCCAAAATATGTAATGGCCTTTAACATTTTGGACCAGATTTTACTGAAATACCAATTCATACAGCTATTTCAAAAACTATCCGTATTGAATCCAACATCTACAACGAGTAAGACCAATCAGCGACCTAATAATACTGTGTATGACCAATATGTTAACGAGTAGGAAAATATTTAGTTATTTTATATTATACAAAAATAAATAATTATTCCGGGTAAAATAACGGTATTTATACGCATTAACGTTAAAGTATACCTTAATTGTTGTTACAATTAAAAAAAAAAAAAATAGTATTATTGATATCTTTTTATGGACATGTTATTGACTTTTAAAATTAATATATAAAATCAATTCTTTCCGCGGTTACCATATTTTACACTTTTCGGTTGTAGGATTCATTCGTGTGCCTTTAGGGCAATTCCACACTTGGCTAAATTCTTCGGAGTTTGTCAGCCCTGCTATTACTCGTACATAATTCGGACTGTGTTCGTCCAATAGGCTTTGCGACAGTGACATCAATGTCGACGCTTCACACCAATTCTAAAATAATATTCGTGATTATACGCTTTTGTTCGGTAGATGCCAAACTTGTAAAATAACTCACATTCGCAAAAGCTAAAAAGTATATTTGTTCGTTGGTGAATTCTTCTAATCCGGGTAGTTTACTTTCTTCGCCGTGGTTGGTTACAAATTTCTTGTAAGCCATAAACGCCTCCCGAATTCCACCGTTGTCTGCGATATTTTCGTCCAGCGTCAGTTTACCGTTAATCTAAAATAGTTTATAAAAAATGGATAAAGTTTCCGTCAATTCGGAAAAAGGCTGAAGTCATGGGTATCGAATGAAAATACCTTATCATCGATCCCGGGCAATAAATACGATTCGTAGTGATCGATGAAACATTGGCTACGTTTTTCGTATTCGCTGATGGTTTTATTTGTCCACCACATGTTTTCGTTTCCATCGTGATCAAACTTACGACCGGTGTTGTCGAAACCGTGGGTCAATTCGTGTCCAAGTATAGAGCCGAGAAATCCGTAGTTCAACACTCTACACAAATATTACGATTAATAACTGAACAAATATTATATTCATTTTAAAACAATTTAGGTATGCGCTTACTGCAAGTCGTGGCCAAAGAAAGGAAACTGTAATATCCCAGCAGGTATGGCTAAAAAAATATATAATTATACATATTATATTGTTACGTTATTGCGAGTTTGTTGTTTTGTATAATGGCACAAATTACTTATTGCGTTCGCTTGAATCCAGTTGTACGCATTTACTTCTAAGGGATTTGTGCTCCATCTAACAAAAAAAAAAAAAATCTTCAATATTCGAGTTCTCGTTTTGTGTGGTCGCATTTACAGTACTTTTGTACTTACGAGTTTATAGAGTAATCGTTATACTCTCTGAGGAGCACCAACGTGTTGTTTAAGTCTCTTTGCACGAAACGTATGACATTTCCAAAATAATCGTTTTCTACCACTTTGAACTAAAAACAAAATATATTTTTCAAAATAATAACAATGGTAACATTATCAAATAAAATGTTTATTTAATTTTGTACGAAATACATCACTGTAATATGCATTGAGTTCGGACCCGTTTTTGATGAATTCTGGATATCCGACAAACATTTTCATCTGGTTAGCTTTGTATAGCGTCAATTTTTTAGTCGTATCGTCCATCCAATTCAACTCTTTGACTATTTCCTCAAACGCCCAATGAATGTTTAACAACATATTGGTTGCCTAAACATTTTTATTATTATTACGTTTTTGTAAGGTTTTTAACGCTGCCGTAATAAGGAAAAATATAATATTATGATCTGTGTTTAATCGATTTTAAGATTTCAAACATTTCTCGAGTTTATGTAATACATAATATACAGTGTGATAAAACGACAAAACGACAAAACGTAAGACAATCATTATTTCGGAAAATAATAAATTTGTTCGGAATTTGTTTTTGAGAACATTTCAGAAATAATTAGGTAGTCATAAAATGTTGCATTACTCAATTATTCACAATTATTTTAGGAGGCGAAACCATTAATTACTTTTGATTTTCAAACGACGACCTATAATAAAAATCCAATACACAGATAGCGAGTAATAATTTAAATACATTTCGATGTTGACATTTTTGATTCCCGTTCATGAGATATTACAAGTTAGGTACGGAGAGAGTGAACACAGAGTTGTGGAACACTACAAAAACGCCACGTGCCGTGGTGCCGCCACACAAATGATGTATCACCACTCAATCTCCGTTAAAACTTAAAAGTGGGATATCTCGTCTAAGGGTTAACGGATATTTAAACACTGATTTAAACTAACATTCCATATATTTATCAAATTTTTAATATAGGTCATAAAGTAAGGGTGACCAAAAAAAAAAAAAAAAAGAAGAAAAAATAAGAGAGTAATGTAACATTTTATAGGTACTCAAAAAATGAATACTGTCCAAGATAATGATTGTCATGTTGATCGATCGCCCAGTAGTTGTTTACAATGTTCGATTTTGGTTAACGCAATATTTGATCAGCCAAATATAACGTTTAATCTATATCTCCATTTGGAATTTTGTTTGTTTGTTCGCGATCGTTTTTCGATGATTATTATTCCATTATTATTATTATTATTATTATCACTACTATGAACACTTACCATATTTGTGTTGGTTTTTACCGATTCTATGTCTACCAACGCCCGGGCAACAGCCATTCCCATCATCGAGTTTACGGCGTTCGCACAATAAACCGATCTAGGACTGCTTTCCAAACCAGTGGTATCGAAGTAGAATCTGTCCTGGACGAATCGCAACTGATTATTCGTGTACGGTATGAGGGTTACAACGACCTCCCACCATATGTTTAACACTGAAATATAATCGTGTGTATATAAACGATAACATTAAGCACGATGTGGTCATTGATTATTATTATTTATCCGTTTATTATATTTACAGTTTTGCGTCTCGGAACTGTTGATCAGAAGTTTGAACAGCGCGTCGAAATATTCGATATTAGAGATATGTATGAAATCGGTGTCGAAATCTAACGAAACGTTGTCCACGTCCTTGAATAAAATCGTAAAGTATTCCTTCCAGTCGATCTAAAACATGAAATTTGTAAACACCTGATATATATTCAAACACTCGGTTAATAATTGTTTCAAACCGAAATTCGAGCATTATCGAACAATACAAAATCAAAACCACTGTCGTAATTTTGGATTTTTAAAATAATTTTTCCGTTTGATAGATAGGTGTTTTATAAAAATCAAAACCAAAGTTTAAGAAAAAATGATATTTGATTTGTTAAAAGAATTTATTGGAAAACATATTCTGCGGCTCTATACAAACGTATGTATATTTTTTGGGTGTTTCGAATGCTAAGTGAATTTCGTGGTTTTACTGCTGGTGCAAAAATTCTATCAAGAAATCAAATATATACGAAATAACTATTTTGTTATTATCTGGGCCTTTTAATAATCAACTTATAATTAGTACAATCTTTTGGATTTAGTAATATAGCTACGTACGTAGTTATTAATTGGTAACCGGCGGATGTCACTACATTTTTTTACAATGTTTTTTGATATAGTGTTGTGAATAATGATTGTAATTGTTTAGAAGACTACTGTTATAAAATGGTTACGCAACGTAACTTACGGTTGGTTCGTTTACTTTAGAGAAGTTCTGTGTTATATCGTCCGTAAACTTTTGCAATTTCTCTACAGTCATAATCGTCGGTAGTTCTTGGTCCGTTTCGTATACTTCGTCTTTAATCTAAAATAAAGTAGGTATAGCTTATTGATTTGTACCGTCCAGATTGATAAAAACAAATATTAATATTAAATCAATAATGTTACGATCGCTTAAAATATCATTTACGTACAGTCATAAGTTTGTTATCAAACACTAGTAATTCTTTCAATTTGGCTCCTAATTCATGAATTAATGTGGATTTGGGCATTTGCGTATTATTGAATTCGTGTTTATAAATCTCCATCCAAATCCCATTGAAATATTTTCCGTACGATTCTATGTATTGAATTCTTTCGCTATCTTCGTTTTCGGTTTCACTGTCTATCGTCTCTTCGGAAGCCAGTGTTTCTCGCATTTTTCTCGAACTCATTTTAACGATTCTGTCTGTCATCTTGTGACTTAAACAGTGAAAATTGTATACACATCAACATAAGTCGTCTGATTAGAGTATAAATTAGAAATATTTTTTAATTCTTACACGGGGAATATATTGATATTTCTCGGTTTGCTCAGACTGATGTTATTGAGCGTCCGATTTTTCGTATCCGGATCAATGGTGGTCGAAAACAAATAGTCCAAGTTCAGATACTTTTTGACTTTCGCCAAAATCGACGATAACGAATTTTTCTTAGAATGTTTTATAGGAATGCCCAAGTGTGGTAGACCGATTTCGGTTAATATATTAATCATCGGTTTGAGTCCGGCCGCGTCAATTTCGTCTAAATCATAAAAATATCCTGTTTAAATCCGGATTATTAAAAAATATAATAAAGCTCGAGTACTGTGACCGTACCTGTGGCCATACACGAACGATACAACTGTCTCGATTGCACTAAGGCATACGGGTCATTGTCATCGTCGTTTTTTTCCATGTAATCTATAACAAACAAAAAACCCAATAGAATTATTTAAGAGCAATAATTGTAAATCAGCGCGTGATTTCACGCTACTTGATATAATATAATAAGTATGGAGCGGATTTATATGCATTTAAAATTCGCAAAAAATACTGTTAAAGTCATCAAAAATAGTCCTGGAAAAAGTCACTTAAAAGTATTTAAAAAGCAAAAGTGACAGAGGGGTTAAAAAGGGTCCACCCTAACGTTTCTAACTCTATTAAATAAAATTGTCTAATAATAAAGAATGATTACACAAATTATTTTTTTTTTATATATATATATATATATAATGTGTATAATTTTATTTGAAAAAACATAACTCGCGTTAATAATTTTTCAAGTGTTAGAAACTTATTTTTAACAAGCTAGAGCCACTAAAGTGCTTCTACTTTTATACTCCTCTAATATTTTTGTTTTTTAAAATATTTGTAGAGTTTTTTTCGACACTTTTAAGCACTTTTTTGTGGATTTTATGCGCGTATAAATCCGTTTCCTAATTATAAGTAGCGCAGTAGGGACAGAGCAGTTCATACCTCTGATGAATGTAATCATTTTATCGTTTGTTTCGGCAAACGGATCGTTGGAGACAAAAGTTTTGGGTATTCGGTGCTTGTTGCCGTAACGTCCGCACGCGAATTGATAAAAGTCTTCGCACGGATTTACAGATCTGTTCATCGACTCGACAAACGCCGTGGCTGTGCCGCAATAATGTAACGTATACAATGTTATTATTTTTTGAAAAATATAGGTACTCTATGGACAGGACTATTAACTTTTTCACACCAATACAATAATATATTATGTGCGTTCAATTACAATATACTAACCGGATCTCAAACAGTCTTCCGTTGTACATATTTTCGTATGCTGTTGACTGACGGATTTAAAGTCTATTTAAACAAATCAAATACGAAAATCTAATAATAATCGTTGTTTAAATTATTAATAATTAATTAATAATTGTTTCGAAACGGGTAATAATATACTCACGGGCATACGATATTCCGATGACGGCTAAAACGAGCACTGCAAATACGATAATTACTAATGTTATTAAAACTATGTAGTACCATCTTCGGCTTCCCCTTTTGTTTTTGAACCTGTTTGGGGTATCAGATTATATTTTTTTTTTAGGATTACGAATCCAAATATAAATTCAATCGGTTTTTTTATTTTATTGTATTTTCTACGCGAATTAAAATGTAATGATGATTTTTCAATTATTATATTATTCCTTGACACGAAAATAATATAACGTCTCAAGGATGTATTATATTAAATACAGCAATGTTTATTATACTGGATATAATTTGTATGTCATTTATTGTGAGTTACGATTCATTGATTTCAAAACGATAGCGAGATACTTCCTTAAAGAATCGTAAAAAAAAAAAAAAAAAAAATCGCAATTATTTTATTCGTCTAGTCAATAAATACGACTAATTTATTCACGGTTACTCGACTTAAAACCTATATAATGTATAGTACAGCGAACATGTGTGCAATTGCAGTTCTAATGACTATTCTTAGTAAATGACGCTGTTTTTAAGTGACGTGTTGGTATTTTAACGATTTCAATAATATATTATTGGATAGCATATTGATTTGAGTGGTACAAGTATGTATTATGCAAATGATACAAAAACAAATATCTATATTGTTTATTTACAAATTGTAAATGGCCACGGATATTGTGGCACTTGGTTATTATTATATGACCGAGCGCGATACGTGTATAACTTCGATATAATATAAACAGGGTTCGAGACATATGCAAAAATTGTCCGCACGCATCGGATTTAGGTATCTATTAAAACAGCGGGGCGGTATACAAACTCGATTAAAATTATGGAGAATTCAAACGCGGAAGTTTGTTTTGTGTAGGCAGTTTGAAATTAGTTTGTTTATTTTAATGATTTTGTTGTGATTTATTTTTTTAGGCATTTTTCATAATCAATCGTCAATGATAAATTCGAAAATCAAATAATTAAGGATATAGATCCAATATTTGGTCTAGCGCCGAATTCTGTTTGCTCCAGTATACGTAACTCGCTTTGAAATTCAATCAACTATTATGGTTTTCCACTATAATGTAATGAATCCATTGATAACGTGTTGGTGGTTACTTTTGTATAGAAATCATCAAACAAATAAAATACAGATAAAAGTAAAGTATACGGATAAATAAGAAATTACAGCGATCACAGGACACGTAGTTTAATCCCTGATCGTGTGTCGTAAGTGTTGCGGTGTTCCCGGCGTTTCGCGAGATCCATTAACATTGCTCATAGATTAATTATTTGGTATGGTGTAGATATAATTAATGAGGGAGCTTCGTGTGTTAAATTTTTACAAGAATGTAATTTGTCCACGAAAAACGAATATCAAAAAACATGTGAATAGTCGAAGATTGATGGGTATGTGTTGCGTGGAATACTGAAAATACGCAAGCGAAACGGCAACAAAATATTACGCATATTTACTGAAACGAACTATTTGATTGCGAATAGGCGATATACTGGTACAACAATTTAACGATAGGCCACATATTGGACATTGCCCTGATCAAGATACCTATATAGTATTGTTTTTAACTGTTTGTTGGGTATTCACTTACAATTTCGAATAGCCCGATCCAGGATCGATGACATTGGGCTCATCGCCTCTTAGTTTACTTGTCGCTAAATCTTCGTCGTCACCTATTGAAAATAAAAAAAAATAAAAACCTCATCAATTTAATGAAATAATAATTTTTAAATAAAAACGTGATCGAATGCATTTTTTTCTTTCCAGAAATTCAAGCCAATTTATATTGGTGAAGACGTACCAGTCTAATAATACGCGTGATTACAAATTTAATCTTATTTTAATTCTTGATAGTAATGAAAATAAATTTTTTAATCCTGCGGACGGCCGAACCTTCACATCCGAACTGTTCATGACAAATGTCTCTATTCATTTGATCGACCACACAATTATATCGTTCACATGACCTTCGAACAATACTAGGCATTGTTAGGAGAGGAAGTTTAAAAAAAAAAAAAACCGTAAAAGGGAAAACACTATAGTATACAAATAAATTATAACTTTTATGTTTAATATCCATTAAATTGTATAATTGTGCATTACCCAAAATATAACGGGAAACTAATGATAAATGCGATTAATTCAACAGTTAAATATTTCAAAACTTAAAAATCCACTCGAAACGTCCCACAAAATACTAAACTCGGACAATAATAATTACTCAAAAAAAAAAAAACATTAATATTATCTACGATACATTTATTGATACCTTTAATTAGATAATAATTGCGTGTTCGTATATTCAAGGTTTAACATATATAATTATGGACGACGTAGTGAACGATTTTAAGACAATGCATTTTTTGTTTGGTTTTTTTTTTTTTTTTTTAAGTAAACACGATATTATATTACGTGTAATAATAATAAATCAATTATTTTTATCAACGATTTTAATATTTTTGAATCGTAATAAAGCGATGGCTCAAAAGAACAACAGTTTTTTTTTAAGATAATTTTATTTATATACCTTTTTATTTTCTTCTAAGTTTGTTGAGTCTATTTTGAGTTATTTTTTAATAATAGACTTGGTATCAATCTATTAGAAAATCTAAAGAAATCAATAGTTAATTAACTGATAATAATAAGATGCAAGCCTGTGATCATATCGTTTTTTATAATAAATATATACGATAATATAAAAGTTTAATTGTATTTATTTGAATACACTTCAACGCTATAACTTCAAACTCTGAAAATATTATTCAATATACACAGTGATTATTATCACTGGAATTTCAGTGACGTTCGGGTACCTAGCCTTTCGATTTGTATGTAGAGTACGAACCATACTCAATACTAGCAGGGCCGGAATTAGATTTATGGAGACTTCAGGGCTCATATCAAAATGATCCCTTTAACTCTATAAATTAAAAATAAAATAAAATAAAACTTCAATCTGTATATATTTAAATGTATAAATATTTATTTAGGAGAAACTAAAAGTTTGGATCCTTTCTACTCTGGCAGAAAAATGCTATACAAACGATTACTATTTATGTTAGATCATTAAAAAATGTACTGCTTTCTGTTTTTTTGATGTCAAGTTATAATAATAATAATAATAAATTAAAGTAGAATTATTTATATAATTCTATTATAATAATAATTTAGTTCATTACTATATGTACAGATGAATCATTGCAGACGGTTAAACATTTTTCATTTTATTTTAACGGAAACCGATGTTTTATAGAAATCCCCGTTTTTCCGAATGTTTCCTCTATTATTAAGAAAAGTAAAAATGGCAGCAGTCGAGGCTTTTTGGATGACCAAGATCTAAACGGTACTAAAAAATAAGAAAGAAAGTAAAAGTAAAATTAAAAAGCATTAGTAATCTAATACACCAATTCGACAAAATGTTCTACCAAAAATCATTCTTGGTGTTGATGTTTACAATAAGATTTCCCGTGAAAAATGTATTAAACATTTAACTATTAACTATTAGTCTTTAAATTTATTGTTTTTATCAATAATTTATCTTTGTAAAACAAGCTTTCGGGGAGGGAAAGGAAGTTTCCTTCATTGCATCCCCTCAAATTTGTCATTGTCCACCAAAATTCTTAATACAATCGAAAAAAGACAAAAGAGCCTTTTTTTTTTTAGCTTTTTGGATTTAATTGGTGCATTGGAAAGATCTTTTTATGATTTTTCAAGTAGGCATAATATTTGGAAGAAATCTGGGAAAAAACCTGAATGAAAAACGAACAAATTCGAACAATTAATTTCATTATTTTAGTTTTTTTTGTATTAGAAATCGTAAATTTCAAAAGAAGCATATAAAGTACCATTTGGTATTTTCTTACAGTTTTACGAGAAAAAAAGTAGAAATTACGGGGTATTTAACGGAAAAAACGATTTCATTATATTCGAATTTTTTTTTAGATTCTGAGCATAACGAGGGAGCTATTTGTTTTATAATGCTGTTTTAATTCTTTCTTCTTTTCCATTGTTCTAGTCTGTTGGTACGTTTTTTCCTAGTAAACTTGCTCTGATTTTTACGTGTAGCAACTTTTCTGAAAAATTGAGTTGTTTAAATTTTACTTTAAAGATGTCACTTTTTGATTTTTTTTTTCAAATAAAAGCACTTATGTAGGAAAAAATGTAAGAAAAAGTACGATTTCACGATTTCATTATTTTAAAAATACACGGACGACGTTTTCTACCAGAAAAAATGATTTGATCGAAATATCACAAGATATATTTTTGTTGCCTTTTTAATTTACTTTCTTATGATATCATCGCCAAAACCTTTGAGCTTTTAAAGAATTTTAATATTTGAGAATTTGTTTGCTGTAATTCGGTTATGAATACACGTAGACATTTGAAACTTGGTAATAATACTTATATTAAACTTACCTAGACGCGAAAAAATATGTCTAAATCATGAGACAACTTTTTTTCCTTTTAATAAGCATTTTTAAATCAAATTTAAACGAAGATCGCTAAAAAAAATTACGGAACTTCAAATTATGTATTACCGAACTGCGCTCGGAATCGTCTTTCGTCAAGTAATAGTTTATCATTTCTTACAGATATAAATGATGTAACCTTAAAGAATCCTACCTTCCCTAGTTCTCACCTACAACTGTGGCCGCTCCCATCCTCAGTATCATCTCTTCTTTTTTTAATTTTGTAAACACGAATCACTACATCAAAAATGTTTACACAACATTGAGGTGTCACTGTACATTATTATAAAGTGTGGAAAATTAAGTTGTAAATAATATAGTAGGCGAGGGGCCGAATTTCAACCGAAACGTGCACAGGTATTGTTTTGACAAGCAAACTATGTTTTAAAAAGGTTTTGTACCCCGCCTTCATTGTCATCGCCGAAAACACATCATATCATTCGCCTTATTGTGCGCTATTATTCTTAACGAGAAAATTAATTTATATTCTAAATATAATATTCTTATTTCTTGAAACATTATAATAACATGATACCTATATCTATATAATATAATATGTATATTGTATGCCTGTATACAATTTCGTAAAATGTACAATATAATATGTGTACACAAAACGCCAGACCCACGTGTAATAGGTGCTAACAGGAAACTATGATACGATTTGTTATCCTAATTCGTAACCAATGTTTGCAGTTTACAAAAATAATCAGCAGTACACGAGTGCCCTATTTAAGGTACTATTTGTAGTCTTGTAGACTTGAGAGTCTATTAGGTGTGTGTTCCCATAAACTACTTATAAATGATAAATAAGGTATTTGGCCCAACATGCTTGAAAACATTACACATCATAGTTTTGTACTTAGTGGTGAAGATAAAAAACGAATTCACCCAAGCAGCAGTAGTTATTTCCCATAAGCGTTATAAGTTTACATTTCTACTAAAACCGTCAAAATTATAAAAAGTGTAAAGTGTGCAGCTCGGAATTCCGATGCGCCGAAAATGAGCGAATACGTCTCTGCACTGTATTGACAATCATTATCATGCTGCCACGGTGGTAAACGTCCGTTTAATATTCGGACGAACGTGTCAATTTGTAGATAGGTACCTATTTATAGTATTAATAACGAACACGACACTGCAGAATTACAATCGGCCGAGCAAGTATATCACAGGCGGCGGTTTTAACTGACACAGACGAGCGGTAGTCGTCTCCGGCGGTTTCCAAATAACGTTTGATACGTGACTGTGCACGATTCTGTAACGCCGCCGTCGCCGGTGTGCGATTTTTTTAAAAAATTTTTCTCGTTAACAATATTATTATTGAAAGACAAACAATATCGCAACGTTCACGGTTAGCGTTCGTTTACGACAAAGAAAACATATTATCAATTTCAGTCTGAGGTATTCAATTATGCATTTGTATCGAAACCAGTTTTGTAACGATTTCGTCGGTACGCCATAAAATATATAAATACGAAATTATAGAATACGATAATACGAACTATGAAAATATCCATTGAACGCGACGCGCTGTGAATACATACTAATTCAATAATTTTATTACGGTATGTTACATTACGAACAGATAGCATATTAATACACCGTATTTATTTTTAATGATTATTATCGCATGTGTTTACGTTTTTTTGTTTTTTGTTTTTTTTTTTTTTTTCTGAACGTCAACTACCGTTTCCAATGTTTACAGTTGCGTTTCGTGTTTATATTGATATTTTATTGTATCTGGACGAAGAATAAAAAATAAAAAAATCAGAAATATTATACGGCGCGCCGCGAGTAGAAAAACGATAACCTAAAAGTCCACGTGTGCGTCGAGCGCGATCAACGGCACCGAACCGAACGGCCATTAAGTACGTACGTTTCCGTTGGCGCGTAAAACGGAATACCTCGGTTTCCGAGCTTCGACATTTTTTTTAACGGCTTCAAACTGTTGGATTATTGAACGCAGCAGCAGCAGCAGCGCACAATATACATAAAATTATAATAAAACGTTTAATAATAAAAATATGACGTTCGGTTTATGATGTACATGTGTGCAACGTGCTAAACCGTCCGGCACGACGTATATTTAAAAAAAAAATAAATAAATCAACGCGTATTTTTTCTTTTCAAAAAATGTTCAAATAAAGTTTGCAATTTTAATATATTTTTTACAACATAAACACATTATTAAACAAATTTATTAAAGACGTGCATACGCCGTAATAATTAATTATTCTCGCGTTTAAACGCGCCGTTGTTATTTCAATGTCGTTTCGCAGGAATTTGTATGTATTTATTATTCAGGTGTCTTGGCAGCAGTCGTAACGATATTATGTAAAAAAAAAAAAATAACACGAAAATTACCAACAATGTTGACAAATTTATCCGTTTACTGAATTCAGACTGTATTATATGCTATAATATTACGTTAAGCGTATCGTATATCGATTTGCAATGTTTGAAAAAAGTTAAAAACGCTCACGAACGGGGTCGCGAAGCTTTTTAAATAAGTCTCCACGTTTGAAATGTTTTATAAAAAAATTTTTAAAACGTATGAATCGTTAAAAAATTAAAATTAAATGACTAATATGTTCGAAATGTGAAGATATTATATTTTATGAAGTTCCTTTACATTCTTAAAATATAAATCGACATAAACAGTTTCTAAAAAATAATATTTAAAATAGAAAAAGTAGGGCATAATTCGCAAGATAGTTTGGCCACTGTTGTAGGCGAGAATAGTGGGGAATTAGTATATAGAGGGAAATTTAGTGTATATCTGTACGCATCGATTAATAATTGCTAACGAAAACCAATTCTGAGCCAAGTTCGGCTATACATGTATTGAAAAGCCGTAATAATTACGGTATTTGTCAAAATTTAATATTAAATTTCCTATAAAAAAATTCTACAATACACTAATTTTCTTTTGTTTTTTTTTTTACTAAAAAGTAAGACTAATAATGAATCTCCTGTTAAATCTTTAAGTATTTCTGTTTGGTCAAACAATTTTATCCACAGAGTATCTACCTAATAAAAATTATATAAAAAATTGTAAAAATAAAATATCTATAAATATTTCTAAATGGTTGAAATATTTTAAAAATTTTACCTAGTTTAAAAAAGGTAAATATAAGTTTGTTTTCCGAACGTCAAGTCTCTACGAATATTTTTGACTGAATTCCAACGAAAAGCAAAAATTGAAAATTAAACATTTCGTAAATTTTCCTGTTTTTCCTGAGTTTTTTTACCGGTTTTTCCCAATTATTTTGAAGATCGCTTGGAAAATTAAAAAATGACTTTTAAGTGCCATCTAGATAAAATTTAATTTCAGAAAAACAAAAACTTTAAAACGAAAACTGATAAATTGTAACCTTGCTCACTGTTGTAAGTTGGTAACTAGAAAAATAGGATACATAGGGTAATTAAGTTCATGTACTGTACAAAACGTTAAATCATCGCGTACGAAAAAATAGATTCTTAGCAAAGTAGTATCAGTCGTGGTTTCGGTCACAGTAACCCAGAAATCAACAAAAATAAAACCGATGTATCGACATTTGTTGTTAGTTTTTAAAATCGTATCGAAAAACTGTCGGGAATATAGATAATATTTTCTTCAGATAAAGTACTACCGGTCGTTTTTCAATCGCATCGTTAAATGTACTACGTGAAAAAACCGGAGCATTTTTACTTGCCGAAAAGATGATTCCCGAGAAAATAATACAGCGTATTAGAACTATAATTACTTTTACGTTACATTCAGAAACTAAAAATTATTTATTCTTATACGCTATTAACGGAACAACAATCTAAATGTTTATGATGAAATTACTTCCACAAATAATAAAAACCTTCAATGGTAGGCTAATAGTGCACCTATGTAAATAATAATACGGTTATTGTTACTCTCATTAGAGAAAACGAATCGTTTAGTTTCCCGTTTTTCCCCATCATTAAGGAGACTAGAAGGAAAATCAAAAACGACTTTCTCAACGTATAAACTAAATTCAAACCTCTACAAAAAAATTTCAATAAGATTTTCGACCAATATTTGTTCGAAAATTCGTTAAAAAAAAAAAAAAAAAAATCGCACATCATAATGTGAACAAAACCTGTACATTCCACATTCCTCGCTATTACGCCCGGAATTCCAAAATTAAACCATTGGCAATTTATTAAAAAATCTCAATTAGGCGTTAGGTACTCATATTGTTATTTATTGTGTAGTCACGATTCCCCCCCCCCCGTGAGCACAGTATAACTGTTATAGACCTATCTGTAATACACATACGCCATATATCGAATGTTATCACGAATAATGACGATGCACTTACGCATAGTTATTCAAATCGAATAACAAATAGAAAGAAAAAAACACACACACTCTTAGTAGCACCTGTTTACCAATAAGCAAAGCAAATTATTTAGCTATATAGGTACCTACAATACTGTATAGAGACGAGAGTATGCATTGTAGCCGGTAACACCCGGGGGGCAAGTGAAAAACTCTCGCGATCCGGAGGGCAGCGTCGTACAGGCGTTTAGGTATACGTTGCCGGGGAAAGTATTATGCGCTAAAAACCGCACGAGTATAATGACTAATATATATGACTTATAAGTAATATTCGCGTAATTTATTTACCAAGTTTTAAGGCATCGCGGAAAAAATTGTGTAATACAACACGTATCCATCGTTGCGAATGCGCGGGAATGTTTTTTTTTTATTATTCACGGGTATTGCGGGGGGCCTCGTGAAGAGGCGAAACCGTCGTTGCGTCCCGTTCGAAAATTACGACTCGTATGCTGACGGCTGATGGAGACGTCTTGTTGTACACGACGTTATGGAATAAACGGAATTTTTTTTCGCAGTACCGTATAAAACCGATCCACATTGCGGATTAAAAATACATACAAAGCGTTCTTTGCGTACGTGATAATACGGTTGCTTTTCCCGTTGAGTATTGTTAACATTACACAGTTTTTAATTTACCTACATATTACACACCTATATTGTAATATTTCGATTCATTTTTTTTTTTTTTTTTTTTTTTTTTGTCACGTGAACGACGACGGGAAAATCTTGTTTGATAAACGATCGAGCACAAATTGTAGATGCTAGATGAATAAAATTTAACATTCATTAACTTATTTTATGGCAGTAATTAAAAACGGCTACCGAGTAGTCGCGTCACGAGTCAATTGATAAAAATATTATAGGTGCACACTGTTCGTTTTATAATAACAACTACGACATAATTTAAAAATTAAATATATTAAACTATTAATCATCATTCACAAGTGATGTGATAATTACTTAAGGGCAGTGTTGCAAAGTATTCGAATAAATGTATTTTTAATATACACAATATGCAGTGTTCAGTGCTCGAATTGGAAAAATAAAAAAAGAGGAACTATAAGAATTGGAAAAAATTAACGCCTCGTGCTCCACAACGTAACGCGTAGCGGGTTTTTTTTCTGTCTGTAAACAACTTTTCTACCAGTAATCTTGCCCCGATCATCAACTTAAAAGGTGATCGTTTCTGGTAGAAAATACGTATTATCTAGTTAGTCGTATAATACGTACGAGGTTTGGCTATTAAAAAACGAGACTGCGCGCACAGAGAGCGTTCCAAAAAGGTTAGGGGAAAACCGAATACAGCGCTGATTAGCTGGAAGTGTCTATTATGCTAGTACCCAATTGGGTTTTTGTTAGTGCATTAGTATTTTTTCTGTAGCGTTTAGAAACGAACGTGTTTTTTTCTCTTGCCGAAAACAAAGTGTGACGAAAAACATGAGCAACGGTTAAACGTAAAATTTTCTCGTTAAACTAAAAAAAACTTCAACTGAGTGCTATAAGTTGTTAAAAGATGCCTATAGTCAGGATTTGCTATCTCGGGCGCGTGTTTTTGAGTGGCATAAATTATTTTCTAAAGGTCGAGAGTGCACCGGAATTCAATTCAGTCGTAATCCAAATTCAAAACCATGCTGATCGTTTTCTTCGATATCAACGGCATCGTGATGACTGAATGGGTTCCAGAGGGTCAAACTGTGAACCAACATTACTATTTGACAGTTTTGGCAACATTGCGCGAATGAGTTCGTAAGAAACGGTCGATATTGTGGAAAAACAAGTCGTGGATCTTGCACCAGGATAACGCACCTGCCCATAACGCGCTGTCTATGAAGCGTTATTTGGCCGCTTAAGGCACTCCAGTACTCGAACACGCGTCTTACTCACCCGAATTGGCACCCTGCGACTTTTACTTGTTTCCGAAGATAAAGTCTGCCTTAAAAGGAATCCGGTTTGAGTCGATGGAAGAGGTGAAACAAAAATCGGCGGAACTCCTGAATGGTCTTACGAAAACAGACTTCCAGCACTGCCTCGAGCAATGGAAGAAACGAATGAAACGGTGTGTGAAGAGGGGAGGAGAGTATATTGAAGGGGAACATTTGGTTGTGGAATAATTTTTAAAATAAAACCATTTTTCATAAGCAGTCTCGTTATTTAATAGCCAAGCCTCGTATACCTGTAAACAACGTTAAATCATTGCTTACGAAAAACCGATTCAGAGCGGAGTTTAGTTGATAGTGATGTTTTGTCAACAATATTTATACCATATTATAGTAAAATAATTTAATAGGTTCTTTTTTTAATAATAATTTGTTTAATTTTGTTTAATTTTGTTTGTTAAGTTTGTTTAATAAGCTTCTTCACTCCACTCGAAATCTAAAATTTACTTATGAATGACAAATAATACCTATTTGATTAATTATACAAATCAGAAATCAATTTATTTAAACAAAAATATTGAGCGATTAAACGTTAATTTCAGAACTGTTTATTCTGAAACTGATAGTTTATGTAAATTAACCGAACAAATAAAAACTATTGGAAAAACATTGAAATAAATATTCTGAACACATTTTACTCATTAATTCAGATTACATTCTACAAGTATTCTCTACAAGACTGTTAATGTGTAACTATAACAATTAAAAATAACATTATAAAATAAAATCTATAAATTACGGTACCTTATAAGTTTCAAAATATTAATATCCGCGAGGAAGAAATATGTTGAATTTTCATAAAAAAAAAAAAATAATAATAACAATAATAATAAACATACTTTCGAACAAACGCGCACGTGAACACTGCTGCAGTGTTACGTTTTTGAGACGGGCGCCTAGATTTTAGTAATTATTAAATTTGAAAATAGTTTTTACAACGATACTTCGAGAAAAATTTAATTGAAAACGTATCTAACCTTACCTAAACTGTCGGTACTCTGGGTGTTTTTATTCGGCACGTTCTAATAATATATTATAATTATTTATTCGTATGCGATTAAAATGTACGGAATTTCAGTATTCGTCGGTAATAATTTTGTCAATTTTGTTGTATTTTTCTCGACGAGTCTTACGAGTGAATTATCAAAAAAAAAAGAAAAAAAAACACCAAAGTACACATTTTTTTACTCATTCAAGTCACTGGGCACGTTGCAATAGGAACTTTCGAAAATAACGTTAATTTCGAAATCCGTCGACTACCTGTTGAATTTACGATAGTATATTTTTCATTGTGATTGGCAGCCCAACCTGTGGATTTAGTTTTTAGTCGTTTTAATGGGTTTGTTTTTTTTTTTTTTTTTTTTCGGAAATAAATAACGTCGTGTATTAGGTATCGTAATATTATTTTAATGTATATTGTATTTGTATGCGCACAATAGACTTACTCATTTCGGTATAATTTTCGCGTCCTTCTTCCGCGGCACACGGCACCCTAGCTCCCTCACCCCTGACGGTCCGTGAGCCTGTAGGTTTTTCGTTTCACGTACGGGTGACCGCGTCACCGCGCGTGCGATTATTGTCCGAAACCGGCGAGCTAGATCGGCCGTCGTCGTGGTCGCGTGCTGACTATATGTCGGCCTTCGTCTAACTGAACGCCCAGCCATCGTAATGCATGTTGCGGTTTGTTTTTTTTTTTTTTTTTTTTTTTTTTTACGCCTGCTTCACACATACGCGTTTATGTCTCGCTTTAGTGTTGGCAGTTCTGCTAACGTATGTGCGCGCGGCGCGCCACTGACTGCTGGGGATACGAAAACGCGCTTTGTACTACAATAATTTATCTACATTCTACGTAAATTAAAAATGAAGCGACCGGAGCGATTTTAACGCGGTTTTTTGCAAAATATTCCGCATTGTCCGGAAGAGATTGACGGCCATTGAAATTCACCACCCGTCGATTACACCGTCCCGTAAAATTCGGGTTACGGGCAATTTCAGTTCAGAAATTTAATTATATTTTGTCGAATCGCGGGCGTCCGTGGTAACACGGATAAGAACACAAAATGAAATCCATGACGTACTGGTGTGGGTATCTATGGAAAAATTAATTTACTAATTTCTTAGCGCGCAGTCTATTCGATCTGAACGTTTTTCAGTTTTGTGTTTGTTGAGTGAGTGTTTTTGAAAAATGTTTATTCATCGCAGTTAGTTTACCGCAATTCGGTTTTTCGAAATTCTACCAATTAGATGTACCGACTTAAGTCGCAGAGGTTGCGGTTTAAAAGGAATGTGCGGTGATGATGAAATGACAGTGGCGCTAAATGATAATATATTTTTGTTTATTGTATTGTCGCTATTCATCGCTGATTAAAATAATAATAGCATATTGGTTATTGTTGGTGAATCGAGCGTGTTTGTTGATTTTGTGTTTTTTTTTTTTTTTCAACAATATATTTAGTACAAATCGTAATGCTATCTGAACTCGATACCATTGCATTAATATTATAAACGTTGTGTTTGTATACTCTATAGACAAAAATTTAAAAGGTCGGTAAAAACGTATCTTTGGTATCTATGGTAATAAATAACGGCACAAGATTGCAAATAAAATCTTTAAAAAAAAACTGTCTGCTTGAGTGTATGGTTTTAAGAAATCAATTATGATAATAATTTATTATTATTTGCGCTATTAAAATTTCACAATAGAACATATTTAGTCCGTCGAAGGTGGACTACCCTTGTTTCCGCCTGTTTGTTTTCATTCAATTCTGACACGGCAAAAACCAAAAATGAATATGGGTAAAATAATAATAAAAATTGGCATAAGCAACGCCGGGCGCGGGACAGCTAGTAATATAATAATATTGTGTTTTATATACGAATTGCACGTGTTAACGGTTTTTTGGTTTGTTTTTTTTTAATCCATTTCGTCGCATGAACCACTGAATCCGGACGCGCAAAAACGCGATCGCGTGACCGATATTTATAAACGCAAAATAATATAGTCCTGCGGAACCTGTCGCTCTTCTGACAACGGACAACCGTAAACTCGAGCCCGTTCTGCCCTGATATTGGCCGGTCAAATTTAAATATCCTCGAAAAATAGCCAAACGTTTACGTACGTTTCTCCAGCACCCCTCTCACACCATCGATTTTTTGATATTTTTTTTTTTGTCAATTATTTAGTACTTATTTTGTACGAATTTATATGACAAATCCCACAGTTTGTACGACCATTGTTTCACTAACTTTAACTAAGGCCTTACAAATTGTAGGGTTTGTTACAAATTTGTATAAAATAAATGCTAGATAATTGAAAAAGAAAAACATCAAAAAGTCGATGTGTGGGAGGGGGGGGGGAGATGGAGAAACGTGCTTCAAACTTTTGCAAAAACCAACAAATCTTTTCGACGTTTTATAATAATCGATTTCTTTTCAGATGGGCCAAATTTATGCGTCACTTTGTCTGATCCACTATAAATATAATATAGGTACCAACAAAAATTGTTTGTTTTCCTGTCAGATAACAGAAATAATTATAATAATTACAGTCGAAATTATTTATGTTCATATTTAGTAGTAATTTTATATTAATGCCTATTTGTATAATTTGTCAAACAGAACTATACTACGAAACCCCGACAATAATAATGTAACGTGACCGTTTATCTAAAAAAAAAAAAAATCGTCTTAAATTGATATGTATCTATATTAATTGAAATTTTAAATTGCTTCAATTTTAAAAATTTAAGTGTATAGAAACATAAAACAGCTGCATTAAATAGATATTTGTTAGCGTATTGTATAAAATGTACTGCAAAGAAATAATAATACCGACATTTTAATAGGTAGTTTAGTCGACAAAATTCATCTCGTACATACAGTTTGCGGATAATTTCAACTTTTCGCTATTCGCCGTACGAATAAAATGGAAATAATTTCAAAAGTAAGTGTACAACAACCATCGTAAATCGAAGCTCATATAACGTATAAAATAATGTTTAGTATCAGATAATACAGGGAGCGGGTTTTTAAGTTTTTTATTTATTTATTTTCACCGAGTTATAAATGACGATCGCGTTCAATATTAAAAATACAAACATGTTCACGTTGGACGAACGGACTGTATTTTTCAACGGATGAGTTCACGTTCGTATTATGCGAAAACATCGAATTCATCTGCAGAACGTTAATTATATTTTCGTGTTGATATTATTTCCGTACTACATTTCAAAGTGCACACAACGCGTCAACGCGATACTGTCGATATCATCAAATCTGCATTTAGGCTGCGACTATAACGATTTATACTCGTAGCCGTTTCGAATATAATCGCCAAAACCGTTCTAAATGTTCTAATTTCGTCGTTTTTAATGAACACTAACTTATTCGGTTAAACAACTGTAAGCAAATCGATTTCAAAGAGTATACGTCTTATAAATTTATTTTATGTAATAAACACAAACAAAAAAATGTCTGCACGCAACGATAAACCATTGTTAATGAAACACGAGTAGAGTTGTTTAGCTAAACTACATGCTTTGAAATTCCGCGATTTTTACGCTCAATTTTTTTTGTGTTGATCACTAAGTTTACAATTCATATGATAAACCTTGTGTACGATTTTAAAGCATTTCTGCACGGCCAAAACTATTATATCCACAAAAACCAAAACTAAATCTTTGAAAAAGTCGAATAGCCAGGGTGAAGCTAAAAAAAAAAACAGAATGTTTTGAAAATTGCACTACGTAATGTAAAGATTAACCAATTTCTATGTGATAATTTCAAGTTTCTACAATTATTTTTAATCGAATTACAAAAAAGTCAACAAGTACTGCCGTAAACTTCCGGTTTTTTCGTTAATTACAAAGAAAACTGTAAAAAAAAAAAATCAAAAACTCGACCTCCCAACGTATTGACTGGGCACAATGTTCTTTCGCAAATGATGCAACTGCAAAATCGGGCTAATATTTTTGGTAATACATTTTTTAACAGGCATGAAAAAAAAAACACGCATAGTAAAATAAACGCAGTTCGATTAAAGTTCAATTTACACTTGTACACTTGTTGGTGACGATTTTTTTTTCCCCGAAAAGTAATATTGATTTTCGAAGCCATAACACGTAGTATACTACATATTGTTTCAAAAATATATGAATATTTTTTTCAGTTCAACACATAAGGGCATTACAAAGGAATAAATAAAAAAAAAAACAGCTTTTGATTAATTCTTAAAATTCGAATAGTAAAAATGTATTTTTTAAAGATTTATGTAATGCATTTTTTGCTGCAAATATTCATTTTAACAACCTGGGCTATCATGTGTTAGAATCATTTTTGGAAAAGCATACTGGCAAATCAATTCCGGACAAAAGCACTTAAGAAAAAATTACATACCAAATATTTATAAAAGCGTTATGGACCAAATAACGATATTGGAAATAATTACGTTTACATAATTGTTGACGAACAACCGATCCAAGAAGTTTGTGTAAATACTTTTTTTAATTTCTCATATAATAAAATATACTATTTTCGTTTAGGTTTGGCTATTGCAAATGAATTTGTTCATTTAATGAAAATAATTTAGAAATATATCCAATTATTAATTTTTACTAAAAAAGTAACATTTATCTATTTTTTTTTTTTTTACATAACTTGCATTTTTACTATGCAATTTTTACGTATTTTTTATAATTATAATTATAAATAAATTAATAAATAAATATAATTATATAATTGTAATATACGATTTTTTTGTGTTTTAAATGCAATCAAATCCGGTTTTTAATTATAACCTATAATAGTATTCTTTAAATTGGGCTAGAAAATTAATAACTTATCTTGCGTCGAGAAGTTTCTTCTTTTCTGAAAAGCGTAGATAACAGTCGATTAACTGTTTAGTTTACATAATATTCCTAATGCCTAGGTATATAGGATGATCAATTTATCGTAAGACACTTGTTGCATAGGGAAGTATTATCTTTTTCTGGAATTTGTTTTCTAGAATATTTAAGAAACAAGCTGCCCCACAGTTTTATATTTATGTTATTTTTTTGTCACCCTTATTTTTGGGGATAAAAACAACTACCTACTTTTGAATTTCAAAGTATAGACAAAGTATTAGTTAAAATAAATTTGAGTATTCGACGGAATAGTATCATTTGTACTCGTATTGTTTTTATTTTGGACATGTTTAGTCTATAGTAAAATAAAATGTGCGACTAAAAGAGTAAAGTTTCCGTTTCTCTTATCGGCAACGCCGAATGTCAACAAATGTCTGTGATATTTTATTGTAAGAATTGATATTTAGGGCACTATATACAATATTGATAAAAAAAAAAATATTCAAATAATAATAATAATAAAACAAATATTCAAATTTAATTTAAAAAAAATATAATAATACTTTAGTTTATATTTAAATCTAGTTTAAATCATGATAAATTATCATTGTATCACTGCTATAAATTATCATTTGTATTCCTGGTCCAATTTATCCATAAACAGCATCACGCGGTGGCGTTATTAACTGACCACCATACCTAGAACTTGAATATTATTTTTGAGTTTGACTCGCAGCTGATGTCATGAACTAATATATTTATTAAATTAATACTTATACGTTTATCGTAAGTATTCAGTTATCGAACAGAAACGTGTTTAAGTGAAATTTAGTTTCACTTGTCACTATAAATTCTGTTTTTGACTTTCTGTTGTCACTTAGCATATATATAATTATATATATATTAATAGTATTGCGTATCAATCAATTTGGATTTAAATTCTGGAGTTCAGGCAAATATATTTTTTTCATATTTTAATTTACAGTTTACACTTATTTAAATAACTACAGCCTTATTATTTATTAATTTAAAATTATTATTGGATAACTAGTCGAAATATACAAATACTTTATAGTCACGTACATTTCAAACCTAACTTCCCCCCCCCCCTCAATTTTAAAATATGACATTTTTCATGGCCCAATCATTAGTATCCCGTTAATATTGTATAATAAAAAAAATGGGATTATTTTTTTTTTTAATTTACTGAGGGGCAGGAGAAATGGTCAAAATTATACCAAGTAAAAGAAAAAACAGAATTATTCATTAAAACTACTCTGATACATATCGAGTCTTTCTACACAGAAAATAAATCTACTGAAGATGATTATTAAGAGCTTTCCGAATTGGTACTTATTGTTTTAAATATATTTGTGCATATTGTATACAAATATTGGCAAGGTTTTTTTTGGGCAATATTGAACCGCACAATTTTTGAAAAACAACATTTTGTTAAATAGGACCGTAACTACCGAAAAAATTATGAAAATTATAGTGTAAAATTCTATTTTAATCATGTTCATAGATACTTAATCACTCATATTGCATAAATATGCGTATTAATGAATTTAGTTAGGTACCTACTACCTACTAATATAATCACAAACTGTAAATAAATTAATTCAACTCTGTTCTATTTGTTTTACTCATATTGAAGTCGGTATTTCCACTACATATTTAAGTCATAACTCATAAAATCTTTAAATATTTATTCAAAATACTATGTTTAATTTAAGCACGTGAAAAGAATATTGTTTACGAATTTATTTATTTCTGTTTTAAAACATTTCAAAGATTCCATTCAAATTGAGACACATTTGAAAACGAAATATCTCGTATGGCTCGTAGTAATTTTAATTCTAAGCGATTATATATCGGTCGGTTTTTTTTTTTATTTTTAGTAACCAAAGTTGTAACATAATATAAGTATACATCCTAAATTACAGTAAACAAATATTATTTATATGTTTCGTTTCCGGTATATTTTTTAGGCTGATTTAATGGTTTCCTATAGTCAACTATTATTTGATGTTTATTTTTCTTATTTAATGGATAAACTAAAAACATATTGACGAGTTATATACTCGTATTTTTTTATCATTTTTACGTACGTCATGTCAGTTATAATCAGCATCTAGGTAATAAAAGAGTGCGCATAACAATTAAGATATGACAACTGTTGACAAGACCAATGCCATAATAAGCAATTTTATCAAAATAATAATATTAACTTCTAATAGCATTAATCCATAATCTAACTGTAGGTCAAACTGCGTCTAAGACATATCTTTATCAAATTTTGGTTGTGGTCACAAATATGAAATAACATAATTGAAAAAAAAAAATATATTTATTTTATAGGTATACATAAACTTTTAACGTCCCTAAATTTATACTCATGAAATTATTTTAGAAACCATTGATATTTTTCCGGATTACTACAGTCCGGGAAATTTTAGTCCGGATTATTGCGTTCCGGAATATTACGGGAACATTCCGCATTCTTATGTTCCAGAACATTAAATTCCAGAATATTACGTTTTGAATTTTTATAGCACTCCATATATTATATGCATAGAAACTTACATACCTAAATGATTACATTGAAATTCACTAGTTTAAATTTAAAATAAATAAATAAAAATAATAAAAACTCGATTTTAAGGAATTTTCTTTTGTAGGTTGTTATTATTGAATGTGTTTTGGCAACGTATACAGATAGCAGTAAGCTAAAATTAGTCATTTTCATTAAGACTACGCCGTTTGAATAATGATATATGTGTACATATATATAGATAAGTACCTACATTTATTTTAATGTAACGTCTTACAAATCGTGATTATTACCAGGGTCGTATTTAGGATGTATTTACATAAATTAGTTGTCCGATTGTTTATTGACATACAGAATCAAGAAGGATTCAAGAATGATCAAGAAGATTACCAATGAAAAAAATAATGAAATAATCGGCATGCAGAATCTAGACTTAAAATATCTGCCGGAAGCTCCCCACTACTGGTAAACTGTGAGTTTGTTACAGTTAAAAAGGGTGGGTTTATCCAATCTATTGATGTAAATTGTTTTTGTGAATAATTATAATTATTATGGGCAGTAGAAACAGTAGGTTGAGGTGAATACAAAGGAATATATCATTAGTAAAAGAAATAGGTTGAAACAAATCTGTACTAGTCGGATCATTTTAAAAGTCATTGGGCACATTTTTAATTATAGGATTATCCAGATTTACTGATTCTACATACTCCACATTTTCATCAACTGCTGGCAGATGTATTTCATCTGAATGTGAAAAATATAGGTCTACCTGTTCAGGTACTTTAAAATGGTCAAACTCATCATAATCACCATCATAAAACCCATCATCAGAACCTTCTGGTATTTCGAATAATGCATCAATCATTATTTATTTTTTTTTCAGTTAGTCCTTTAAATTTCGACATTGTTCGATCTCAAATTAAAACACATGAAGTGAAAAAATTATGCCTATCCAGCGGCAAATTCAACAAATAAAAATCACAAAAATCACAAAAAACAATATTCTAATTTGTATAATCATAGATAACATTGATTAGAAGTCTGTGCGTATATAGTTGCATTCGTGCAACCGTTAATGATTTTTGGTTACAGTTGTACCAACCATCCAAAACAACTATACGACATTTTTTCACCGTATTTTACTATCAAAAAATAATTTTCATTTGCCGAAATCATGTATATTTTCAACATGAAAAACAAATAAACTTACCTAAACCCTTATGAATGATTATCTACTGACTACCATCTGATTTTATGATATGTTTGAAAATACCGAATACCGAATAACCAAATGTTACATTACTAATATTCATCATTATCATACGAAACTAATGATATAAAGATACTGAAGATACATGTATATTGAGTAATAACAATAATATGCATATGTTGTGCATCATATGCATAACAATAATTTAAAAACCAGAAAATTAATAAAAAAAACTCGTTGCATAGATGCAACTATCTGCATTTAAAGGTTAGCGAATATTTTAATATTTTAGCGATTGTTCATATAATCCGACAGTATTTGAAATAAATATATATGAATATAAATATTTTTGATGTAATTTTATGCCGATGTATAAACTAATCATCTCATTGGTCATATAATTATTTTTTTAACCTCGTGATAGACTAATGTAATAATAGTTTTTCGGTGCTCATTGTTACGACTGTAATTGAAAAAAAACAATTTCAGTGTCCAAGGCGAACGGTATAGGTATCTATAATACCTATTTGCTGTGACAACTAAAAAAAGACCACTGAAAAAAACCAAATGAATTTTTATTATGACGACAAGCGATAAAACCGTGTATACAATAACGTGTCCAGAAATAACGTTACAAAAAAAACTATGATTTACGATTCGATAGACGCACGATGTTTTTTATTACTTTTTTTGGCTTTCTCAGGCGTTAAGCATCCGTGTCCGATTAAGATAATATTTGATTTGCACGTTGCAAGTGTACACCGGTTTTTTTCTCAAATCTCTATTTATAGGGCGATTTTTTTATTATTATCGATTATTATTATTAAATTATATTTTTTGTCGAGGTCGTTGCAAGGAACTCGATTTAAAAATCAATAGTGAAATATTTTAATGCACATGCGAATAATACGTGTATTTTAATAATTATTAGTAAAATTACAATATCACATAAGTATGTGTATAATTTTATATGCATTTCATTTGACCTCGGAAAAATTGGTACAATATATTGAATTTTTTTTTCTATATTCTATGACGTATATCAGTGATTTGTTTACTGCGTGTCACGTGAAGACATAATAGGACTTGCTCGATATGTTTAAACACGAACGTGTTTAAAATGTGCGAATGTTTATTGAAGGATTTTATTAATATTTTTAAATACATAAACAATAAGGCAGAAAATATCTGCTACGGATCTGTGTGAAATCCATACAGTAGTCCAAAATCGTTTACAAATTCGTATCGAAATTTCAAGACAAATATTTTCGACTAACCGACCACTGTAAATTACGATGTCCTCGTCCGTTATTACACTACAACCGAGTGTAAATATCGGAACATAACATAAAAATTCGAAAAACAAAACAATTACGAGTGACGAAGTCGCTGCGAAAATTTGTACACTGAATAATAGTAAGATAATTAAAAATATACGCCACGTTACGTCAACAAACTAAAACAGTAAACGCTTAACAAAAAAATAAGATCGAATGGATTTCCTGCAATTGTGTTATGATAAACATAATTGTTTTTTTTTCAACCTGAGATTTCTCAAAATTTTAAATCCGACGCCAAATAATTCAATTATACATGTGTCATGATGTGTATTTGCATTATTTCTGTTTAGGTCTAAAATACTATATAGGTACTGATATTTTCTGTTTTCGTCCGTAATCATAGGTAATTTTCAAGGTCTAACTAACCTAGAATGTTTACTCCGTGTTCTTCATATATTTATGAAATTCAACTATTATTTTCATAAACACGACTATCTAATGCATTTATTTTTGTGTTGAACTAAGAGATTTAACTCCTTGCAAATTATCTAAAACCAAATACAATGTTCAAATACTGTTCCGATATTAATTGCGGCTATATTATAACCATTATTGTTGTACTATTAAATAAATTATGATATTTTGCTTTTTAAATTATTTTCCAATTTTTTTTTTTTCTAGTAAATTAACATTTAATATATACTACGTATACTGTATACAAAAACACGAGACGCGATTAGCCCCAGCCAAGGCCCGTTTGGCCTAGACCGTAGTTCCCCATAATAATTTGTAACGTAACGTTTATAACATCGTATTTATGCGACTATACTATTGACAAATAATTGGATGCCTAAAAAACACACGACTCCACAAATCTTCCCAATAGCAGGATTCACCCCTCCCCCTCCTATCGAATATCATGCGTACAATTTCTACAGACTTAGAAAGGACTAAACTCAAAACAGACAGACGCCATATTCTATACGACAAGGAATCACATAGATCAAGATTAAAATCAAGGAATAGTATTTGAAGTGTATAAATATCCCAACAAAGCCCACCGAGCATGCCCGTATAGACAACTGGAAACCTGCCATAGGTCATATTAAAAATGACCAGATCCAACCAGCGAGACACGGCCTCGACTAGCAAATATGGAGAACACTCAACCGGCTACGATCGGAAGATCGGAAAATCGAAGGACAACTTAAAGAAGTGGGGTCTGCAGGAAGACCTACTTCCCTACTTACTCTATGTACTGCTACAGACCTCAAAACAGCGACCAAAGATGCAATCGAAGTAAACAAATATTAGAAGGACAAAATGAAATAACCAATTAAAACAAAATTTACAATAATACCTATACCTATGTTCTATAGTCCGAAAATAGTCAACTGGCATGCGATTTATTAATTATTCACGTATCTTTTTGTTTTGTTTGTATTTGTATTTTATTTATTTATTTTATTTTATTATCTAATTTATACATGGTCGTTTAACACGAATAAAAAAAAAAAAAATAAAATATTCGACTTTACTAATGTAACATTTATTTAAGAGTGTTTTAATAAAATAGTATAATGTTCATGATGAAAATGTTTAACGTTCGGTGTGTTTCACTTATCTGAACGTCCCGACTAAACATGAAAAGTCCAAAGATTTCATGTCCGTCAGTATAGCTTCAGTATTAAGCATTGGAAATTAACCACACTTTTTTACTACTCGTATTATTAATAGCTAATATCAATAAGCAATAACTAATAATAAAACGGCCAACATGTACGACATTTTATTTTGAATAAGCGCAATAATCTATTTACAACTGTTGTATACATAAAAAAAAAGTTAACAAAACGATATTTGGTATTTATATAAAGGAACTTGTGTCGTATACCTATATAAAATTGATCTAATAGTATCACATATAGATAGTCTTCATATTATTATAAACTATTGTCGTTTCGATAATATAATATTGTTATAATTCACTCGAAAAGTAAATTTTCTTTCGTTCACGGTCACCAAATTTGGCATTTCTCTTTTTTCGGATTCATTGGAGTGCCGGACGGACAGGACCACGCGTTCGCAAATTCTTGTGTGAGCGACAAAACTCCTCGTACTCGAACCGAACTAGGACTGTGCAAATTTGATTCATCGTAATATTCAAAACCGCTCTGATCATACTGACAGAATTGCTACGTACAAACAAACAGAATTTCAGAATGTTATATAGAAAAAAAATAATTACAACAATAATAACGTTAACAATTTTCAATAAACATTTTATAGGTCCACATTTTAATATTATTTCTCGCTATAGTAAATTAGAACGAAAAACGGATTAAATCCACATTTTACTCGTTAACTTGACAATTGGACTAACCAAGTTGTTAACATTAATGAACGAAAAAAATTATAATATTAACTTTTCTAGTTGAAATATGTAATAGAATCGATTTGTTAATTAGATTTGATTTCTGTTTTTACTACCTTAATGATGATACCGACCACTCTATTGGTCTTTTTTAATTTTGTTAATGTCACCTATATAATATATTCCGTTTAAATAAAACTGCAAAACGTTATATAGTAGTTTGATATTTTACTTTTTTTTTTTTTTGAAATACCCTATATAATTCGCACCATGTGTGGTCCACAGTTGTAAGTTGGCGGTTAAGATTAGGAAGATAACAAATAAATTAGATTATAATAATTTAATTTATAAACGTATGTAAAAATAAATAATTTCAAACGAAAAACGGGTTTGGAGCATTTTTATGAAGCTAAAAATATTGTATGTTCACATAAATTGGAAAATATTAAGCGAAATACCTCTGTAGCTTTTACGATTGTCGTTGACATTTGAACTTAAAAAACATCACGTTTTTTATCGCCAAATAGCACGTATATAAAAAGCTTGTATAAGTATTCTGTGAAAATTGCATGTCTACTACCACCATTTTTAATAGAATTACAACATAAGAACAAAATCGAAAGTAATGAAACCGATATTTTCATAAAAAAATGTTTGTCTGGGTTTCCCAATTACTAGAAAAACGACAAGGAACGTCGAAAAACGATCGTCCGGTACACCAAACGGGGAAAATTTTCTTCAAGAAAATATGCTACACTTGAATATCGGATCGATATTTTAAATGTTGTTAATCGACAGAAAAGAAACCTATAAAACCAATCTCGCTGCGCTCAAAATCCAATAATGAAATTAAACGACGAAATGTTCGTTTAAACGACTTTCTTTTAGAGCCACTGAAAAAATATAACACGCATATTGTATGCCGGGTTATTATATTATTAATACCCGTATTATAGGTATACTCCGAAAAAAATAGGAATTTTCTCGGCTTTTTATTATACACCGTAATATTAAATTCTATAGGTCACTATGTATAATAATAATATTAATATTATTATAATGAACCGATTTTTAAATAAAGTCATTATATTTATAAAGGTATGCTAAAATATTAGACAAAAATATTTTAGTACCTAGGTATTATTTTTTACGTGACCGACGATGATGGGCGCAAAAATAATAACATCAGCAAGACGTATATTATCGGTTTTTGATCTGCGTCTTGTAACAAGGCGTAGATTAAAAAACGATGATAATACAATATAATGTTATTTTTAGCTCGTATATACGCGACGTCAAGTGGCGTACCCGGGAATTTTCATATGGGAGAGAGTATATATGTACAAAGTGAATAATAATCGTGAATAAATCGTTGAATCATTATTGTGTTGTAGGTAGGCATGGGTGACTAATCCGACAATGAAAAATGACAATTTAAAAGGCAGGTCCGGCATTTTTCAGTCAATAAATCAAACATTCTCTTGTAAAATTCTACCGAGGTATAAAATGCCGAGATCGAATTGCTAAATAAAAATACTCGTATAACAGTTGCATATTTTCAGACCGATATTGACTGGTGCGGGGGGGGGGGGGGCGATAAACCATCGCCCTCTCAGTGCACGCCACTTATTACGACGATTTCGCTGAACTATACGAGTGTTATTACCGTTTAAACTGTACGATATAGTAACATTTACGGCGTTAGTTAAAAAATCGCGTCCTCTGAACATTTGTACAGTGATTGTCACAACGCAATAATATTATACTCACTACGGCGTATCCCAGGAAAAACAATTGCTCCGAATTATATTTTTCCATTCCGGGTAATCTGGGTTCCTGGCCATGTTTTTCCACGTACCGTAAATAGGCGAAATACGATTCTTTCAGCCCGACAACGTCGGCTATGTTTTCGTTCAGCGTTTGATTGCCGTTTACGTACATCTGCCAACAGATAAGTACGCGTACATTACAAAGAAATTGTAAAAAAAAAAAAAAACAACACGCGGCGTACCGACAGTGTGTTTGGTGTAAATAAACTATAATATATTCATGTAGGTACAATTCAACAATAATTCCGACTTAATCCTACAAAGCGTTCATTATAATATAGTTGTCTATAAAACTGCGGAATTTTCGCAGCTATGCCTAATGTATGGGTTTGACAAAATCATTGACACAAATAACACGTGTGTCTTCAAGACATTTTCTGCGGGGTTCGTAGGTCGGTTTATTTACATTGTACATTCATTGTTTACGTTTTTTTTAAATTTTTAAGCGAGATGATACGAGTGGCCAAAATATAATAAATTGAAAATACGTATATTTCGTTTAACCACGTCGAAAATACAGACATTTCGGTAGACTATGTTCTTACATTTTAACTTTTATAGTATATAGATCAATTTACTCTAATAATATTAAAACGAACAACACGCAATTGTCCCCCTTGCTGGCCGCGTCACCGTGGTGTTTATAAGACGGAGCTAGACGGCGCATGCGGGTATCACGTCTCCTCGAGGGTTAAATAGCTAACTTTTTTGTTTGATGGCAATATTTCCGAAAAAAAAAAATAATAATAATAATAAAAAACGAAAATACACTCATTTTAGGTACACACAATATTGTATGTTAAATTAATTTATCTTCGTGGCACACTGCGGTATATTTAATATTTAAGGTTAACGCTTAACCTAAAAAGGTGTAAAAACAAAAAATGATGATTACGGTATCGTTATGCATTGTCACCAATATATTATTATAGTGGTCTATCATGCAACCGGCCCGCCTGGAATACTCCTCGTAACTTTTGTTCGTCCACCATTGAAGCACGTTGCCGTATTCATTGAACAATCTCCCGGTGTTGTCGTAATTGTGCGACAGTTCGTGTCCAATAGTACTGCCCGTCATACCATAATTCAGCGCTCTGTTCGGGACATAAAATCGTATTTCACGTTTGAAATTGCCGAAATCCATATCGAATTCCATTCTGTATAATAATATATACTCACTCTAAACCGTTGTGGTACAGCGGAGCTTGTAAGAATGCCGCCGGCATGACTGCGAAAACCAACAACATTCAATATTAATTTACTCGAATAAGGTAATAAATATATAAATGTAATACATTGAAATCGGACACAAGAAACTGATGCTGTGAACGTTTTTGAGAAATTAGCTCAGAAAAATATTATATATTGGGTAGAGAAATAAAAAAGTCATTTTTTTTTTTCAAGCAATAGCTCTCGGTAGACCCTAAAAAAATGACTGCAATATAATATTATATAGCATTCGATCGGAAATAACATAATTACACTACGGTTTCATAATACGACTTACAAAATGCATTCATTGAAGGGTCACTGTATGCGTTTACTTCGTCCGGATTCATCTTCCACCTATACAATTATAATTTAATACGGATATGTAAAAAAAATAATTTGCGATTATATATTTTAATTTATAATTTAATTAATCGTATAACAAAAAAACCACATCTTACTCTTTGTTTTCCCCATCTTTTTTCTGTACTAAATTATTCCATAATTTTTTTGAGTGAAACCTGGTAATTGATATCAAATTTTCTAGGTGATTTTCCGTGATATTTAACTATGTATAGGAATTAAAAAATGCATTACGAATCAATAACATCATAATAAATATAACACAGACAAATTAAATTTTAAATTCCCGTACGTTTTTATATAAGTCATTTAGAATGTTCGTGTAATTGTTCGGATATCCAAAGTAAGTCTTCGTATAGTCGAGTTTTCGGTGAGTAGCATTTTTCGTCTCATCATCCATCCAGCTCGATTCGCTGATCATTTTATGGAAAGCCCATATGATATTGTCGTTCATTTCGGCTAACTATCGACAACGGACAAAATATATCCGGAATTTAATATTTACGGTTGCATTTTATTAACGTAAGTATACTTGCTGCGGCTTTCGTAGAATCGTCCAACGTATCGACCATAGCGTATCCGGTCGCCATTCCTAAACGTTCTGTAGTCAATGAAAAACAATATCTATTGTAAATTCAATAGAAATCATAGTAATTAAATGTTTGATGATTATATTATAATTTGTAATGAAGTTGTTTTTTTTTTTTACTCACTCAGGTGACCAAGTCTCCGGAACTATCTGAAATTTCAACAAATTATTTACTGCGTTCGATAATACTGACATTTCTAAAAAAATAAAAATAAAAGTTATGTATTAATAATGATAATGTTTACACGTTGAATAAATAATTACTAATTATTTTGGTCGGAGTTTTGGATAATAACGAAAATACATTTTGCAAGAATACTATATTGTCCGTTATAATCTCGTAATCGTCCGAATTTTCTAACAACTGCTCGTACACTCTTGGCTCATTTTCACGAAATAGCTCTCTCAGGTATAATGTCCAATTAAACTGTACAAAGTTTATTTTTAGTTTAAAATTGTCCAAGTTTGTTTTTTAATCGCAGATGATTTTCGTTTGCTTACCTTGAACTGTGTTTCATCGGTTAAATTTTGAAGTTCTCGGAGTGTCATTATCTTACCAATATCAATTTCAGTATGAAATGCATCGTGACGAAGCTAAAGTATAGGAAAAATTAAAAATTAGCAAATTTTCGGTATTCATATCATTTAAGGAAACACATTTGATTGATTATTCAATCGCAAATACATTATTTACTGCAAGTAAATTACCTAATATAATTTCTACATTTTTAATCAAATAACAAATAGAAAATTATAAATGTATTATTTCATTATAAAGTATTGAAATGCTAAATTTATTAGATACAGTCCAGAGAAGATTATACTGATTACACTGGGCAGGTTACGATTGGCTAAATTAAAATCCATCTTTTACGCGTGGTAATGGAAAAGAACCCAGAAGAAAAGAGAACCCTTTGTTACTCTCATATAAGACTGGGAGAGTCGTGGAATCTCTAGATGGAATACCAAGTAGGGAAGTAGCGGCGAGATGCTACTATAGTCGCATATAAATCGATAACCTCACGGTGTATATGAAAGTATTAAAATTACTACAATGTTAGTATTGTAATGAACATTAATGAACATAAGTTAACGTATTTTCTATTTAAGATCTATATTTTGTATTATTATTATTGAACAGTCGATTGTGGTTTTTGACCTGTATGCTGTAAAATTTAAAAATATTATTTCGTGTCTGTTAATAACAGATCTGCAAAGTGTTGGTGTGCAGTAATAATTTTCAGTATATATAATTATCGAAGGCTTTACTTTTGAATATTCAAAATTGAAATAGCTTAGTTCCATGCTCGTGTTTAAAAGAAGACTGTTAGAAATCCTTTTTTGACACGTTTGGTTACGATTCAATAATTGGTCGGTCATCAATTGAAAATATTCGATAAATTTCGGTATGTTCTCGTTAATTGTAGCATTATTCGTTTCCATTTTATCGTTTCTGAATATATTACAAGTAAAAGTGTGAAATATTATTATCAATATTCATATGAGTAAGTTTAGGTAGATTAGATCCGTGTATCGATATAAAGTTACTTTAGCTTAAATTTCGATGATTCTTCAAATGTACTAATACTCAAAAGCGCATGTGACGAAGAATTTCTAGGATCTTCAATGGTTGAAATACCGAAGTATATATTCGAATCAATATATTTTCGGAATTTCGAAGAAATGATTTCCAAATCCAGTGCGACCGTATCGTTTAAATAGTTTTCGTCTAGACCCAGTTCTTCCCAAAGTCTCCATAATGGACTATAATAATTACTATCGTCACTGATCAAACCTGTATAACATAAAAATAAAGAAATATATGCAAGTTTTAAACACAACGTAATCTTTAAATATCGAAAAACGTTCAATACCTTCGGTGAAATTTAAACAGGCGGTGTAAAACTTTCTGGTTTTATGAACGGCCTCGGGTTCGTCTGCTCCGTTATTTCGAGAAAGAAATTCTATAACGGGGAGTAAATGAAAAAAAAAATAGTAATAATAGTAATGGAAATAATTTGAAAACTGATTTATAAGTCACGATCGTTATGGTTACACTTACTTTTTACTTTGTAGTTTACTTTCGACATAATTATATCAGTCCAACTGTTGTCCGAGGTTGTATAAGACGGGTAATTCGTTTCGAACATACCACAAGCGAATTCGTAAAAATCTTCGCACGGGTCGACAGTTTTGTTCATGCAGTTCATTAACGTTACGGCTAAAAATAAAAATAAATGTTTTATACAAAATTTTTAAATGTATACATTCTATACAAATAAAAATACAACAATATATTGTTTTTTATAAATAATAGTAACAATACTTACTAGACTGTAAACACGGTTTCGTTTTGCAGATCTCTATCGCGGTATCTAAAACAACCCGTTTTTGTACCATTTTTATTACAAATATTTTATAAAATTCATTTTTACTATAAATATTATTATCAACAGTAAATATTTGGTGAACGCACAAAGCATGAATCATTTTTCACAAACAAGCAATTTCATCGGAGGACTTTAGGTAAATTTGATTTCGGTTTTTTTAATCATTGATTTTTTTAACCATGGAATCGTCAAGTTTTATATTAAAATAATTTTGAAGTTTTAGATTCTGAGTGAAGCGAGTTGGTTTTACAATGATGTTAATTTTTTATTTATATTCTTTTATACTGTATACAAAATGTCTACCAGAAATCTTGTTCTCATTTTCAAGTGCAGCACCTTTTATGAAAGAAAATGTTATCTAGTTGATACTTTAAAGAAGGCTAAGAATGAAACAACTTTAGAAGAACGGGAAAACTTATGAAATGTTTTATTTTCAATTTTGTTTTCTTATTGTAATTCAGATAAAAATGTTCGCAGAGATTTGAATTTCAGAAAAAAAATTTATGTTTGCTTTTATAAAAGTGATAAAAATTTCTAATTTACAAATTTAATTTTGCGAGCTTTTTATCTAATTTTTATTCGGTAGATACTCTGTGGATAAAATTGTTTGACCGAACAGAAATGCTTGAAAATTTAACAAGAGGTTTATTATTAGTTATTAGTACTTAGCGGTCAACAAGCAATGGTTGAGTTTAGTATAGAATTTTTTTTTTCTGTATAAGAATTTTAATATCGGATTTCAACGAAGATCGTAAATATTACAACCTTTTAAAACATGTATTACCGAATTTCGTTCAGAATTGTTTTTCGGTAGCAATTATCAATCGACGTGTACCTACAAATATACATTAAATTATCTTCTATATCCTACCTCTCTGAAACTTTTCACCTATAACAGTGGCCCACCAATCGTGCAAAGTATGTCCACCTCTTTACACCTACCTTAATATTTTTAACATTAACAAGGATACACTTTTAATAATATTTTTGGGCGCTTACATTGCTCACCAAGCCTCATAAGATACATCAAAATAATATATTTAGAATCGTATATCTTAGAAATACCAACAGAAAAGTCCGGGTTGGGTTATGTCTATCTTCTAAGGATAATTCACAGTAATAATTTTTATCCTTTACATCTATATATATATATATATACATTAGGGTGGCCCTTCGTCATATATGTGATTTTTTGATATTGGATTTTTTTCAGTCTTACCCCCTAAATTGGTTCAAATATGTATATAAATGAAGTATACAAAATTTCATATCGATAGATTAAGTTTAACCCGTGCCCCCCAGCCCTCAAAGATCAAATATATGGTTCTGTACAAGTAACCACAGTTTTTTTTAATTGATTGACTGCTATCTCGTTGTTATCATTTCTTACAAAAATAAATTTCTGACATTATTTATAGTAAATTAAATTGTCTATAACTTTTGTTCTATATAGTTTTTTGATTAACGTAATCGGCAAGTACGCTTAAACTCTGTCAATACTTGGTTCTATGCCGATATTTAAGTACGCCGAAAATTACCGTCGCCCATATCCATTACCTGTTCGGTAGCCATGGAAAGAAATTGTTTTATTGCGCGGAGAAAGCCGAGCTAGACATATATAGTATATGTAAATAATACATAGAAATGAATGTTCGTTCGTTCGTGATATATAGACTCAAAAAATACATAACCATTGGCTTCAAATTTTCCTTGATACTCGGAGAGAGTTTGCCTGATAAGCACAAATAGGAGAGTAGGAGAGGGAGGAGGGAGACAGCCATTAAAAAAAGATTTGTTCAAAATTCATACTCTAAAGAATGACTAGGAAATTAAAGAAAATGCATTTCTAAAAACTTGTGGACAACAACGGTTGTTTGCAGTGATAGGGACGGGAATGGAAATAGAGTCGCGGAAAAAAACCGTTTTTATTTTTTTTACTCTTTTTCTTTCTTGAATACTGAGACAGGCAAAGCTGTGCGGGACAGCAAGTAAATGAAAGTCATAGTAGATTAAATATTGGAATTAATTTTAAGCTATTAGGTGTAACCCATAACAGTAAATTTAACATAAAAGTGTTATTACGATTTTTAAATGTAAATTGTCCACTTCAATGTGTGATTAAACAGAATAGGAGTTGATACTAAAAGATCCAAAGTGTATACTCATTTAAAGTATAAATAGTAGAAGTACCTACATAATTCAAAATAGTGTTAAAAAAAAAAATGCTTGAATAATTCCATTGATTAAAAACAAATATCGGATATCAAATTGACTTACGATTATCCGATAAAATCGACGATTCACAATAAATAAATCTCCATGTGTAGGTACTATAAAACAGCTGTATATATTTTTACTTTTTTAGTAAAATCATCACTTGTTTGTAAAAAAAAATTAGACATATGTATGTATATACTACCTATGTATTTTGAATAATAAATTATTGGGCATTCAGAAAAACGGCAAGGCCGTCTGTCAACCAAATATTTTTTAATTGTATTTTCGCACGATGACTTACAAGAATAATAGATGTAAAACGTTGAGAGACAGAAGACAAGAACTGTGAGTACGGTTAAACATAATTTCGTTTTGTTATAGTTCTTTTTGTAAACGGCACTAAAAAAAACACAATATGATTATTAGTATTATTAATTTTATTTTTTTATTTTTAAATACACAACATAAATATTCTAATTTCTAATTAATGAAATGGTTGTAATAGTTTTTAAATCAATTGTTTTTTATTCCTTAGTATAAAATATGTAGAAAATTATGTAAATATTAATTTGAACATTTTGGACCGATTGATTGTACATTTTAAATTAGTTATACTCGAAATAAAAATGACATTATCAAATATTAATACATTAATTTTGTTATACTAAATTAATTAATAGAATATAATAACCAATAGCAATTCATAATAATAATATATGTGATTTACGTACTTTCCATTTTGACTAATTGTGAACGACGAAATTCCTTTTCCTTCGACGTGTTCTTGATAGCCTATATAGAATAGAATTTTATATTGTTGATATGAAGACGATAAATCAGAGTGATTACGTAAAATAATGACCAATAGGTAAAACTCCGAGGGTGAGACCCAAAAAGCGTTGGTCAGAAGGAATTAAAGAAAACCCAGAGAGAAAATATGAAATATTGATTGGAAAAACGATAGGTGAGGGAATAAAGTTATGTTGACAGGCAAAACTCTTGGATAGCTAAGCTGTTAGAGATAAGGGGAAAATGACAAATATTATAAGTGTTGATTAATACAAATGGAAATATATTATTTAAATTGGTTCATCCTATTAGTATTATATGAGTATATTATGTTTTATTTATGTGTCTGTAAACGATTTCTCTATCAGAAATCTCTTTCCAATCAAAGGTTTTTTTGTTTTTTTTTTTTTGGACCATATTTGTTGTGGTAATTTTTTGATTTTCGAAGTTTTATTCAAATTTATGGCAATAAAAGTTTCATTATTTTATTGTTTTTTCATTTTTCAATTTAATTTTTCTACCAAAAATCTTGTTCTAAATATCATGAGTTGCATCTTTTCTTAATTAACATTTTGTCTAGTTAGTGTTGATATCATTAACAATTGCATTACTTTCGGTTTTGTTGTAATTCGATTAAAGATAATCATAAAAACTTGAAATTTCTACAGAATACCTATTTATACCACAATTTTTTTGAGAAGAACGTTCATTCGTCCTTATAATTTAATCATTATTAATGTTATTTACCACGTAATATATTTACTATTTCATATTAATTTTGAATGTTGAAATAAGGCAGTTAACGCCAACTGTGTCAACTACGCGATTATTTTTCGTTGTGCTCGTTGTTTAAAATGTTCAAATTTAAACTTTAAACTTTTAAAATAAAATAAATCATAATTAGTTTAATGATTTTTCTCTTATAGTAATAGTAGATAAATATTATATACTATAATTAGTGCTTACATGATATTTATTATATACGATAGTATTGTTTTAAAATAACAGAATTAGCCAGTTTCAATAATTAAAAAACCTGTCTTGAATAAACATAAATTGTAAGATCAATGTTAAACGGTTTTTTTAAATCGAAAAAAATAGACGAACTAAAATCGTTAGTCACAAAAAATAATTTCAGTTAGAAGCCCTGAAATAAATAAAGAGAAACAAATAAAGAAATTGTTTATTATTTTTTTTACTAAACGTCTTTTCTTTCATTCTAACATAGAAGGAGTGAGGAATGTATTGGTTTTACAATGATGTTTATTTATATATTTATTTTTTGTACTGTGTACAAACAATCAACCAGAAATCTTGTTCCTAAGTTTCAGCTGTAGCAATTTAAAAGAAAATTTTTCTGCTTTAAAGAGGTTATTTTTTGATTTTCCCAGAAGTTTTCTCAATTAATGAGAAAACCCGGGAAAAAAAATCATAGAAAAAGCGGGAAAATGTACGAAATATAATATTTGAAAATCGTAAATATTACGGCCTTTTAAAACATAAATAACCGAACTCCACTCGGAATCGTTTTTCGTCAAGATTAATCTCTGCGTATAGATGTACATTCAATTCCCATCTAAATCCTTCCTTCCCAATGTCTCACCTACAACAGACCCACCCATTGTACAAAGTATGTCTGTCTTTTTATATAATTAAATTACTTTTTATTACAATTTTTTTTATTATTGCGTTTTTTATCATGTTACTACAGTATATTATCTGTCAGTACTCATTAGTTTTATTTATTGATTTTATTAATTAAATGCGCGTATTATTGTGATTAAATTGTTTAGTTTGCTATGCACTTATTTATTTTTCTTCGTTAGGAAATAAACAACATTTGATAAAATTAAATTATATTTTACAAATGTCGGCAATTTCGCAGTTTTTCTTAGTAATACCATCCAAGAATATCCTGTTTAAAGATTGCATAATAAAAAACGAACCACAACTCAATAATGAACATGTGATTTTTAGTTAATTAGGTAGCTAATTAGGTATAATATATAACCTATAGATAATAAAACAAGAGATGATTATGCAGATGGGTGCGTCATTGTTTGTTGTGAATTATAAGTTGAGAAATTATTATACATAATATTATTTAATTTATACCTGTAATCATCGGTAATCTATTGTTAACAAAAACCGATCCTGAGCGAAGTCCGAATATCGATGTTTCGAAATATAGTAATTTTTTAGGATTTTCGTTAAAATTTTAACTTAAAACACATATAAAAAAAAGAGCACAAGGAAAGCCAAAATACCTTTAACATTTGACCGCGTCTAGAAAAGGTTTATATAAGTATTTTATAATCATTTCAGCTCACTATCATGATTTTTAACCAATTGACAAAAAAAAAAAAAAAAAAACTAAAATCGAAAATAACGAAAATTGTGACCGTCTTTTCTGCGTTTTCCAACCCGAAAGAAAATTACAGGTAAAATATTTACGACACGTCACAGCGTTTCTCATTTCATTGTTTTTAATTTTTTCAAACTATGTTTTCTACCAGAAATATTGTTCCCATCGAAACATGATAGGATGATCGATTTCGTTCCTTTTAGTACATAGCCACTGAAAAAGAATTTCGCTTTCGATTTTCAAAGTAGTTTTCGTAATAATAATAAATCATTTTCTGAGATCTAAACTAGTTTTCATAATAATTGGGAAAAACTAAAAAAAAACAAAAAATTCGATTTTTTCAAATTACGGTACAATTTCATTATTTAAATTTTGTACAGTTCATGTTTTCTACCATAAATATTAAAAATAAAACAAGACATAGGTTTTAATCTAGTTTACATGTAAGTGATTCGGCTTTTATTTTTCTTGGTAATTTTTGTAATAACTGAAAAAAAAACCGGAAAATACGTAGAACGAAAGGGAAAATTTACGAAAATAATTATTTTATATATATAACAAATTTTTAAGTAATTCAGTTTAAAATATTCTTAGAGACTTGAAAATTTTTTTTTCTAGGCGAAGTAAAATATTCAAAACATTTGAGCTTTTTTCGTGCTATATATAGACATTTTAACTTACTAAGTTTTTTACGTCATTTTTATATCGTAGGTACTCTGTGAATAAAACTATTAGACTTAACAGAAATTCTTGAAAATATGACAGGAGGATTATTGTAAGTCGTAATTTGTGATAAAAAAAAAAAATTGATTGTAACGTGGTATTGTTTTTTTAATTGTTTTATGAGGATTTTAATATTACATTTTCACGAAAACCGTAAATATTATGGCCATTCAAAACATTTATAATCGAACTTCGATCCGAATTATTTTTCGTTAGTAATGGTTTATCTTTGGTTAAAGCTATAAATTAAATAGCATATTGTATCCCACCTTTTCAACTCCTTACCTATAACAGTGGCCGTACCCGTTTCTAGTATCAGCTCTTTTTTTTTTTTTAGAATTATTATTTTAAAATGCCCAGTAACCATTGCGCAAAATATGATAATAATTCATCCAGGTTTTACTCGTATGCGGATGATACATTAATAAAATATGTAAGGTCATTTGAATATTGAAAATAATAACATATGTACACGAAAGTAAAATTCGTAGAAAACGTTTTGCGATTAAACTGTACTAACTTTGTACTATACAAATATTATAGTTGTATACTGCTCGAAAAAATTGTTAAAGAATCATAAATGCTCGTGTGAAAAAAACTTGTAGCAAATCTCGTGTTAAATTTTCTATCGTTTCTGCTCATTCAAAACAATTTTATCCACAGAAGATAAAACTAAGAAAAAAGGACGGACATACTTCACACAATGGGCCACTATTGTATGTGAGAAGTTGAAAAGGTAGGATATAGAAGGGAATTTAATGATTATCTGTACGCAACGATTAATATTTGGTAACGAAACCCAATTCTGAGCGGAGTTCGGTTATACACGTTTAAAAAGCCACTTTATTTATGATTTCATCAAAATTCGATATTAAAATTTTTATAAAAAAATTTAAATTTTCAAATTTTCAAATTAATGTCAAGTCTTTACGAATATCTTTCAATAAATTACAATAAAAAAAACAAAATTGAAAATAATCAAAGTATTATTTTCGTAAGTTGTCCCATTTTTTTTCACGTCTTTTCCCGGTTTTTTACGATTATTATGAAAATCGCTTTGAAAATTGGAGCAAATTATTGCTGGTAGAAAAGTTGTCCACAGAAAAAAATATAAACATCATTGTAAAACTAATGCCTATAGACATTCCTCGTTTCGCTCAGAATCTAAAATCGACAAAGGTCAAATGCCTATAAACAAAAATCGACAGAATATTTTAAAAATTATGCCACGTCTAGATAAAAATTAGTTTGAGGATTAAAAAAAAAAAATCATATCAACATTATTTTTAATCGAATTACAAACAAAATCGAAAATAACGAAACCGTTTACATTTTTTTCGTATTTCTACGTTTTCTACGATTGTTAAAAAATTAAAAAAAGAACCTCCCAACTGCATATACAATCAGAAAAGACTTTACGCTTGAAAATCGGAATAACATTTCTGATTAAAAAGTTGCTTACAGACAGAAAAAGAAAAAAGGGCACCCATAAAAAAAAAAAAAACTGCGTAAGCTTTTTTACGCGTTTCGTTCGAAATTACTACCGATTTCGAAAATCGTCACCAGATCAGATAACCGCTATCAAAGTATTTTTCTATGATAGTTTACCTATATGTCTAACGTTGACCGTGAACGGATTTATTTTGTATTCGTGAGACAATTTTACGATACAAGAAAACCGATTTCGATCGACATATTTTCGTTTATATCGCGCGCGCAAAGTTGGAAATATTAAAATTTGAATTTGTACACCGGCATTACACCGAGGTCGCCCTAAATGTCGTACGCGACGCAACAACGGGTGCGGGAAAAATTTTCGTCGAAACAAAATAACCGTCGGATACATACAATAATTGTCGTAGCTGTAAATATTTCGAATATGTCCGTTATATAGTTACCGAAACGGCGTTTAGAATATTAATTTGTGCGTGTAGGTACTTACCCATTATTGATTTTGAACGCGAGTCGAAAAAAACAAAATCCGCGGGCAATACAATATCACCTATAATTGTGACTGCGGTTATTGCTCGTATGTATATTTGTATTGTTATGCGTTCGCGGATTGAACGAGTGCGAATGACTGAACGCTATTCAAAACGGCCGAGTGCCGCCGCGTGTTGGAGAGCCCTTGAATGCGTAAATAGTATTCGGAAAAAAAAAAAAAAGCCTTGTCCGGACACGCGTGTGCATTATTCGTCGAAAACAGGAGGACGGTCGTCTCGCTTCGCTCACCCCGGAATCACTGTAAGTCGGTATTCTGTTATAGGTACAAACTCACATCAGCTATACGCTTATATTATTGTACAGTTTGTCGTTTACTTACGTGTACTCGTCTAAGTCAGTCGAAATCAGTTTATCAAAATATATTTTTTGAATATAAGTATAACGTCACGCTCTATACGGTACGTCATTCGAAAACTGAAGTGTTTAACGAAAAAATAAACCGATATACATAATGCATACCGGTAGATGCGGTTAATAGTGACACCGGCTGTAGTGACATATCGGGTGTAATGACCATAGATTGCAGAAACTCCTGTATATTGCGCGATATTAATCCGTATCGGTTTATATGACGTCTGTATCAGTGGCATAATTGAGAATGTTTTTAGGGGGGAATATCAAAATAAATCTTCATGGCATTCTCATGAGAGGTTAGCCCCACACAGTCCCAATTAAATGGCATGTCTGCGGTTTTAAAATCGCAACGTCCTAATCACGTTCGAACACGGAGCATGTAAAGCTCAGAGTGAAACTTACCATTTGTTTATAATTTTAGATTCCGAGCGTAGAAAAGGAGCTATTGGTTTTACAATGCTGTTTATTTCTTTCTATTTTTTTCCTGGTAAACTTACTCCGATTTTTTACGCATAGCAACTTTTCTGAAAGCTCAAGTTGTCAAGTTGTACTTAAAAGAGGTTATTTTATGACTTTCGACACCACTTTTTAAATAAAAGCACCCGAGTGTGAAAAAACATAGGAAAACGTATAATTTCACAATGTACATTTTTTTATTGCCTTTTTTATTTACTTTCTTACGGTATTATTGCAAAAACTTTTGAGTTTGTAAGGAATTTTAATTATTGGGAGTTTTTTTGATGTAATTCGGTTATAAATACACGTAGAGACTAGAAACTTGGTCATAATACTTATATTGGACTTAAACGTGGTAAAATTTTCAAAACCATCGGATGACGGATGACGGATTTTTTTTAATAAGCGTGTTGAAATCAAATTTAAACGAAAATCGCAAAAATAATTATGACACTTCAAATTATGTATTACCGAACTGCGCTCGGGATTGCCTCTCAGCAATGGTTTATCATTACTTATAGATATAAATGAAATGACCTTATGTTTCCTATCTTCCCAACTTCTCACCTACAACAGTGGCCGCTCCCGTCCCCAGTATCGGCTCTTTTTTAAATTTCATAATAGTTTTGAAAATTAGGGATTTATCCCCTATATCCCCCCATAATTATTCCCCCAGTCTATATAATAACTGTACGGATGTTAGGACGGTTATTTTTGGTTATATTCGAAAAATCTGTTGTCAAAAATAACTGTATTAAACTGTATTTAATTTAAAAATAATAATACGACTTTTTTTTGCTGTATGTATTGAAGTCACGGTTTAGTGATCAAAATATAATTCATTGATTTCAACACAATACTAAGTTCATGCAAATACATCTATATATTATAATCAATTAGTTTTTTAAACTTAATTTTATCGTTTTGCAGGTTATATTGACAATCGGTTATCATGATTTATTTAACTGGTCCCTTAAATGTCATTTCCACTGTACCTATATACCTACTTACGTTGTTGGCGATTTAAAAAAACACATAATATTTTAATACATAATTATTGTGTATTACTGTATGATGACGTAATCGCCGTATGCATAAGTCAATATAGGTAGTCATATTCGTAAACTCGCACACCAAACCTGACTAGCCTACAGCCGTTACGGCAGGTTTTTATCTATAAACGAAAACAATACTACGCTGTTTCCGTGACGTTTTTTTTAATTCGGATCAAGAATATCAAATATTGATCCAGCCGAAAACTGTATAGGGACTTTTCGGTAGAGTTTTTGATCTAGTTATTGCTTTGATTTGGCCATTTTTAGAATTTTTCCTATGGTTTTATCTAATTAATCGGAAAAACGGAACGGGCAACTTGATTTCTTGGCTACCTTGATAACACGGGAAAAATACGACTAACAATATACCGCTCAGAATCGATTTTCGTTTGCAATGGTTTATAGTTGCATAAAGATAAAAAATAAATTATACTTAGTATAATCTCCCCTGCAACTTCATTCCTAAAACGATGGCCTTACTCAAAATTGTTTTTAAGTTTACCGATAATCAAAATAAATACTCGTTCGCTTAATATTACGGTAATAACGTATACCAGCTATTTTGTACTCTGTAGTGTATAACTTATTAAAATACATAATATTTTGTTAACTTGAGTAGGTGTCTACATAAATGTTTTGTGTTTTTTTAATCTCGAGTTAGAGTGTACAAGCTCCGTTTGTATACCTAATATTATAGACACCTTACTATCGCGTTTTACAATTATCGACGTTGGGTATAAACTATAATGTGCATGTAGTTAAACAGGGGCGTCTCCAGACCTTAACTGTGGAGGGAGAGGGGGGCAAAATAATTAAATTTAATATTAAAAATTAATAAGAAAAAAAACGGACATACGTCAAACGATGGGTGAACCACTTTTATAGATGATAAGTTGGGAAGGTAGGTATTGAGGAAAATTAAATGTATATCTGTACCTATGCAAATTTAAACATTGCTAACAAAAAACGATTCTAAGCGAAACTCAGTTTATAGCATTGCTTAGGTGCGTAAATAAAAATTAATAAAAGTTAGATGACTAAGTACAAAATACTTTTATTTTAAGTAGCGTTTCGCAAGCGGTTTGATTAACAATAGTTTATATATTATTATTTTCAATTCGATAAATATTTAAAAGTGATAAACAAACTTAATCTAACCGAATTAAAATTACGTACAAAACTCGAAAAATTAAAATGTCTAAATTGCTTGAAAATGTTACTACGTCAAGAAAAGGCAAATATAAGTTTTCTGTCCAAATTTCAAGTCTCTACGAATATTTTTTATTAAATTCCAACAAAAATAAAATTTAAAATAAAAAAAAGCATTATTTTAGTAAATTTTCCCATTTTTCTTAAGTTTTATTCTGGGTTTTCCTGATATGAAAAATTTAAAATTGCTTGAAAAATCAAAAAATAACCTTCCTAAAGTACCATCTAATCAATACGACAATATTTTCTTTCAAAAAAGGTGTTACATTACATTGAATTACATATTGAAGCAAGATTTCTGGTAGAAATTTTAGTCACAATATAAAAAAAAAAAAAACTTAATTTGTACATCAAATAGTTACATTCTTCGCTACACTCTGAATCTAGAATTTTAGATAAATTAATCATTTCCAATTTTGATTCTAAAAATATATTATTTTATTATGTCTTTGCAAATTGATTGTTCCCACTTAGTTTTCCATTTTTCTATCTCACCCTTGAAAGAATATTTATCGAAATGTTTAAATGAAAAGTGTTTTATTCTTGTCTCAATCAAAATATTTCCAAGATCCGCAATCATCTTTATGGCATTTGGAACCAGTTGCATTTGTACTTAAGAATTATGGATATTTTGTATAACAAATGAGAACATCACACGGCTTGTGAGGGGGGGGGGTGATCGCCCCCTCGCCACCCCTCAGGGACGCGCCTGAATTAAACAGTTTAACAATCGATTTGTTTTTAAATTTTCAACTAGAATAAATTATTATTTTCGTTTTTATATAATCGATTTGAAATCTGAGTAATTCAATTTCCGTTGCATATAAACTCTAATTTCGATGATATCGATAGTTTAATATGATATAGATATCATACAGATATACTGGTTTTTTAGATGTATTCGATTTTTTTTTTTTTATTTATCCAAGTTAAATTAGATTTGATATATTTTTTTTACGTTTAAACCTTTAAAACCTAACCAGTTTGTTGATTTCATCAGTCTTCTATTACGTTTCCATCGATACACGCTAAAGTCGATTGCGGGTCTCTGAAAGCCTGCACATTCCAAAGCTCCACCCTCACATCTGTTACCTTAATCGGTCTATTTAAATACATACAAGATAGATTAATGATAGTAATTAGTAAGTACTATAAGTATATAGTATGTATAGTTCACCATAAACGATTTGGTGGACTTACTACTATTTATTATTTTCCGTCTTTAATCTGTACACTGCTATTACCAGTGACTTCCCTACTGTTTTTACATTAATTTTACAAACAAACAAGACTATTAACTAATATTAGTTAAAATGTTTTTAAGCGAAATATTGCGCAATACGCGTTATAAGAATGCAACATTGCACATGCGATATTTATCATGATAATATTATACCTGAGTAATTATACTATAGTACTAGACGCAGTTAACAATAACAACAACAAGTAATTATTGACTAATTAGTAAGAACTAATTACTTTGATGACACGTTTCGGTAAGATATTTTTATGGATCATCAATTATATTTTATCCTTAATTATTATGTTAACGTACTCACTTACGATTCAATACGGTTCAAATACAGTATAATTTCTTATTTCTGAAACTTGTTTATTGATGTACAACAATCATTAGTAGACATAATTAAGCGATTTTTTTTGTATATTTTTTTTTTTTTTTTTTTTTGTGGTTTCGAAATCGTTCTTCCATTTATAAACTTATCGAATGACAACAATAATAATTAAAATCGTCATAATATTTTAACCCAAATATTTTAGTTTTCTTTCGGGTATTTAACATTTTATACAAGGCTGGGCGAATCGATAAATATAATTTCAAAATTATTAGTCAAACGTTAATTTGAAATTTAATTATTTACAACCTTGCGTTAAGTTAATTGGCTTCGTGTTGTTTTTGTAAAATACTTCCCTTTAGCTAAACCATTATGAAAATCATTGGACCTTTGGACTGTTTGTTATCTTTTTAAAATAAGAATGATTAACACATTGCAAAAAAATAGAAATAACGATAAAATTAATGTTTTCTAGCGTCTAATTGTACCAATTTAATTTTAGAGTAGAATAAATTGTGCGATTATTAACTCGTTAATGCGGCTCGCAGTATTAATTTTATACGCACACGTCTTTTAAAAATTTGTATGTGATTTAATAATAAGACTAACGGTATTTCGATATATCAAGGTAGGTTTACAAGACAACCTTATAGGCAGCGCGCCTTTAGCGCAATACGATATTGAAATAGTATCCAACGATCCAAGTACTAAAAACAGCATTCGAATATAGTTTCCAAAAATACTAAACGCCTAAAAAGTTTTACCTTTAAAACATGTAATGTTTTATAAATTTTCATTTGTTTGGGAACATTCAGTTGCGTAGCCAGGATTTTTTCCAAGTGATTGTTTTTATTTTGTGTTTAGAAGTAACTTTGTAATTTTTTTGTGTACATCTACTAAACATAACATATAAACATACTTAATCTATATTACCTATGCGTTACACAACATATCTTGTATAGAAATCCGATGCATAACTGCATGTAGTAAAAATTATAATTATAGGCAAAGGAAGTGTTTAAATACCAAAACACCTCTCCCCCTCATTATCTACACCACTGGTACTATTTACACTAATCCAAGAAAAAAGGCGAGAGAGACAGGGGCAGAGAGACGAATAGATGGCGTAGTCATGATATCGACCGTTTAGATTAAATTTTAATTCAGACACCCGAAAATAAAACGTAAAACAATGTAGACAAATTTCATTTCATTCGCCAAAATAAAATTGCTTTGGAATTTAGGATTTTGTTTTAATATTAAACGCACGGTGTTATGAAAAATATAATTTATGCGCATTTTTAAAATACATCGACAATACGCGAATCGCCATCGTATTATTTGAACGTAGGTATACTCATAAAATTAAATCCGTCAGCCGTGACGGATTCAAGAATAAGGTTGAAATACGTGTGTCGGTTTATTATCCAGTCACAAACTGCGGAAAAAACGTAGCAGTAATGCAGTTTTAGACGGAAAATGTTCTAGGTGATAACGCGGGATCCATGAAGGTTTCGGTGGTCAGATTTTCTTTTTTTTGTGTCTCTCCCCTCTAAATACGAACCATAGTAAGAAAACCTGAGGTTATCAGATTATATTAAATAGGCACCCCGCTAAATATAAACATGTATTAACAAGAGAAGAAAAAGAGGGTCATTGTTAATATTATTTTTGTTTTAATTAAATTTGTTGTTAAGGTCATAGACATTTAGTTCAAAACCGCGATCGATTAATTAATTAATTGATCATTAATATTTCATTGAAACGTACGAAAACCGTACGCGTATTACGCCTAATTAACACGGAGTTAATCTATTATCATATCTTTACGCGAATATAATATTATATTGTATTATATTATATTATATTGTAAGTCCGGAAAAATGAATTTCATTGAAAAAAAACATGATCTGACCTACTTATATCACACTGGCTTAAAAAAAAAAATAATAATAATAATAATAAAAATGAATTTTAATGCGTGTTCGTCGTTACAGTTCGTATTATTGCGAACGCGTTGCAGTTGTCTAGTGGCTATCCGCATACGATTGTCTCGTGTTATCGTATTTCGTGTATTTCCGTTAACGTCAGTTTAACGAACACATTTACGCCGTTCGTAAATCGTTTTTTTTTTCTTTTTTTTAATTCTGGTCGAGCACCAAAGGGGGGCAAAAGGGGCCGTTGCCCCTCCTGGAATTTTCATCTGTATGTATTTGTATCATTCCTAATCGGCATACGATTTTACCATAACAATAGAAAATATTTCTAAAATAAAACGTTTTCCCCGTTTTGCCCCGGTCAGGATTTTGTTCTACGGGTGCACTTGATTCTAGTGATATTTTTCTAACCTGTAAATAACTTTTTCTGTAAGAAATCTTGCTCGAATCAGTTTTTAAATTTCTATCTAGTTTTCATAATAATATTGAGAAAAATCGGAAAACAACGTATTGGAAAACAGTACGTATTTACGACAGTAAAAGATCATTATTTTTAGATTCTAAGTGGAACGAGGAATGTATTGGTTTTACAATGATGTTTATTTTTTTTTTTTACATGAACACTTTTCTACCAGAAAGCATATTCCGATTATCGAGTATAGCACCTTTTCTGAAAGGAAATGTTCTCTGGGTGTTACTTTAAAGAAGTCATTTTTTGAAATTATCATTAATATTCGACATAATTAGGAAAACCTCAGTCTTTAGATTAAAAAAGATAGAAAGATTAAAAACAAGGTTATCATTGGTATTCTTTTTAATTTTTTTTTTGTTATTATTAAATTTTTATTATTTTAATCTTTTTTAAACAATCATTGTTGTAATCATTTTACCATAATTATATACTATTTATTGTATTTTTGACAAAGCAACACTATCAACTCCGCTTAGAATCGTTTTTTTCGTTAGCAATGGCTTATCTTTGATAAACAGATATAATTAAATTCTCTTCTATATCCTATCTTTCCAACTTCCAACCAAAATAGTGGCTGCACCCACGTGCGAAGTATGTCTGTCATTTTTTTCAATTGTATTTTTCTTCCAGAAATTTTGCTGCTAACTTCAAGAGTTAAATCTTTTTTAAAAGAAAATGTCCTTTTTCAATTTGTAGTTTTCTATATACATTCTTTAAGTGTTTAAATCCGAGAAAAACTGTTGTAAAACGATAAAGTTTACGGCATTAATGGTTTCATTAGTTTTGATTTTATTTTTTTTTTCGCTGTTGTGATTCGGTTGAAAATAATCGTAGAAACTTAAAATTTTTTACAAAACCCTTGTATTATCCTTTTCTAGGCGTTGTGAGGTGTTCATAAAATTCAAGCGATTTCCGAGCTATTTATAGGCATTATTAGGCAAAATATTGTTTTTTTTTTTTTTTTTAGATTTTATTTATGTGTACGCAATTATTTGGCCGAATAGAAATGCTTGACCATTAACACGGAGTTCGTGGCAAATTGCACTTAGTAGTAAAAAAAAAAAAATAAAAATATCCAGCTTAATGCAGTAATATTTTCAAATTCAAATTTCGACGAAAATCGTAAAAATTATTGCATTTCAAACCCTCCGATCAGAACATGTTTAACCGAATTACGTTCAGAATCGTATAGCAAAGATTTGTCGTTGACCGACGATGTGTGTTCGGGATGGTATACCACTTATTGGATGTACAACGGATTCACGTACTTGTACTTTCGGAATTAATGTATTTTAAATTAATTACTATTGAATACAACGTGTCGTATTCGTAACTCGCGAGATTGGTATTATTTCAAAAAAAAAAAAGTAAACAATAAGATTAACATATTATGTCTATTTTTATTTTTGTTTTTTTTTTCTAATTTTATATTATTTTACCCGGCGTATAGGAGATTACGCTGTATGCGCTGTAGGAGTTTTATTTTTATTTATTATTTATTACCTGTTTATGTATTTTTAATCGTTGTACTTGTAATCGCGCTGTACTCTCTTAGGAGATTATCAAATCTCGTAGAGGTGAGCCCGGATTAAGAAAGGGTCCAGGGCGGGCCACGGCTCCCGCGCTACCCTACCCACAGGGCTTCAGTTTTTGCCACAACATGTTATTCATGCGTTTAACCGTTAACTAGTAACTTTGTTAAAAATGTATTTGTTTTATTTATTTCAAGTACGGGTCGGTAGCCAAATGGTCACTATTACAAACAAAACTAAAACAAACCAAAAACAATAGAGTACTTCATGACATCATTCATTAAAATAAAGAAAAAGAGGGCACACGGCACTGGCAATCGTCATCATTCTCGTAAGGGACTCGTTGGCAGCGTAGTTGGCCGTAAATACTGGGACATAGAAAGGGTAGTGACAACGCGGAGAAAAATAAAAGGGCGCTTTAAAGCGAACGCATCGAAGAAGGTACGGGGGGGGGGAGGAGAGGGAGGGGAAATCCATAAGACCTGTGACTAACCCGCTTAGAAAAGCCAAATTTGCTCGAACTCTCCTGTCGGCCAGAGATAGGACAATATCGTAGGGGATCGAGAACAGGAGAGTAATCGCGTGGTAGGCGATTTATTTTCGACGCGGGCCCCGCAAAGGACAAGCATTAAACAGTGTAACGCGTAAAACAATGTATTTATTTTTTCCGAAATACTTGTGGCTTTCGACCCACGGGCGATATATAGCTGTACGATGTCTGACCATATACATTATATTTGATTGTTTTACGGCCGTTAAAAGCGTATTGGTTCAGCAGAACGTTTTTCGGCAAAACTGATTTATTCGCCGGGCCCTGTGAATCCGAGTTCGCGCGACCGTTCAAACGCGCGCCGTAACTCGGATTTCACGGGCGGAATTTACGTTCTTACCGCCGCGCGAGAAATGGATATTCGCCGACGCCGTACCGCGGTACGATGCCCGTTGACGTTCCGGTAACGCCGCGGTCGTCACGTTACCGCGGTGTAAAGTCGTTCGGATGGCCGGGGTTTTTTTTTTTTTTTTTTTTTTTTACTGTATATAAAACCGTCGTCACGGCGTTTTTACGCGGAAGGTGAAAAAAAAACAATAAAAACACGCGACACGATAATGTTTATGGCATAGACGTTTTAATAATTAAACGCGCGCGACAGTGCAATGACATCGCGACGGTCGACGAATACCATTGTATTGCGCGCACGCGCTTACGATAATAGAAATACAGTGATAAAAAATTAATTTAAAAAAAAAAAAAACGCGTTTCATAATCGCCGCGCACGGACGCGCGCGGCGCGTAAAAACAGTGCGAAAACGCGTACTTATTTGGACACTAATAACAACTGAAGTAATACTAAAATGTCATGCTACAGCCCGAGACGGCGCCTACGTGAAGTTTATACAAGAGGCGATGTGCGGTTGCTCGTCTCGGCGGGGGTCGTACAATCGACGGGTTTAAAAGTTAGAAAAAAAAAAAAAAAACGAAAAATACAAAAATAAATCTAAATCGTATTATACAGAGCGTCGGTAAACGAAACGAAAAGTCGAGATATTATTACACGCGTATATCCCGCGACAGGCGGGTTCGACCCGGGCGCCATCGCGTCACGCGTGTAGCTCGTGGATACGGTCGCCGTGGCGTCACGCGTCCTATTGGTACAGCTGGTGTTTGTCGTCGGCGTATTCCGCGTGCGACACCTGTTGACGGTCGTCGTACTCGGGCGCCTGTTGCACGTACTTGTACGTCGGCACGGCCACGTACTTGTACTGGATGGCCGGCTGTTCGTACTCGGCGGCCTGTTGTGCGGCCGCGGCGTCCTGCAGCTGCTGTTGCTTGAACGAGTTCTGTTCGTACTTGAGCGCGAACTTGAGCGAGTTGGTCGGCTCCTCGGCCGCTTCCGGCTCGGTGGTGACCGCGGGCGGTTGCACGTACTTGTACGTGGGCGACGCGGCCAGGTACTTGTAGCCCGGCGTGGACGGTTCCTCGTACTTGCCGGCGGCCTGTTGCAGGGCGACGGACGACGGCAACGATATGTACTTGTACGCCACCTGCGGCTGGGCCAGGTATTCGTACTGCGCATCGAAAACAAACAAAAAATTTTAAAAAAAACCGTTCAAAGACATTACATTATCGTTTCCAACGTGCGCGCGTCGTTGAAAAAACAACCCAAACGTGGAAAATCAAAGTTTTCGGGATTTTACGGATAGGATCGTTAACTCGGAAATTAAAACAATGTCGGATGTCGTCGAAAACGCGGACGATGTTTAGCCGCTGTAGCATTCGCCGAGAACGGAATTTCATCGCGAACATAACTGTTGTTATTATTACGAGTCGTTTTCATAAAACGAAACAATAATATAACAATGAAAACACAAAAAAATTATAAAAATAATTTTTTTTTTTTTTTTTTAATAACACATAATTATGAGATATGCCAATTTTGTGGTTTGTCGTTTCGCGTCGAAAGGGCTGAATAGAGGATGCACCGTTGGTACTCCACTTCTCTATTCTCTACACCGATCATAAATAAAGGAATTATTATGGATACTCGACCGAAAAAGCGGTCCGTCAAAAAACGGGCGCCTCGCGAGTTCACGGCGACGTTTTTTCGTGACTTCATTGCTGTACAGTAATCATAACAATAACACACCGACATGAATGATAATTTTATCCGCGATTTCGTCATGAATACAATTAGCGCGGCGAGTGGGAAAACGTGTTTTAGTTAACTAATCGAACCGTTTCGTTCCTGTACGAGTTGAGTAGACTTGTACATTTTCATTTGCACGTGCTCCGTAATACGTACCTGACAACAAACTCAAAAGCGGAATATCTGTCGGCAAGGACCCTGGAAGACGGACATTGATCGTTCAACGTAAAAATGTGTTTTTAAACTAAAACTGCATTATTTGGGAACCGTTTGAAAATCGAAATGCGGTATTCGGTTTGATCCTCGAACACGGGAATCGCAAGAAATAATTTGAACGTAATGCTACCAGAGCTGCTTGTTTCTGAAATTTTCCGAAAAAAAAAAATGTTATACTTTTCGAGTACACGAGTGTCTGTCGTGTTATATTGATCGCTCTGTATAACGTAATGCGTCTACGATTCGATATTATGTATGAATCGAAAAGGGGTCGTACCTGTATTATTATGTTATCAGTGTTTTTTTTCTTTTTTTCTTTTATATAACCGTCGACCGCGTAACCGGTTTACGTATAGAGAGGTGTGCTGCGTTAAGGCGTGCTGCAGAGTGGGAACAGTTCGGTTTGAAAACTTCGCGTCGTCGGCGACTATAGACGAAATAATATTATAAAAAAATTAACGTTTTATGGGTGCCACTTGTGTAACTGCTTCTGTATATGCCGTTGGTGTCTAAAGCTTATGGAAAGTGAGAAAAAAAAACAACAACAAATAAAACAAACGGTTAACGCGTAACGAGGTGACACCGGGTTTAACGGACTCGACTTCCCCGCGCCCGGACTTACGTAACACACCGTGCCGGAGAAAGGCACTTCGCGGACGCATCCGGTGCTGCTGCTACGAACACTTCCTAATGTTCGCCGCACCGAAATTCGTCGTCAGCAGCGGCGTGCAGGGGTATCCTACGAAGCGGCTGATTCGCGTTAAGAACGTCGAAGAGCAACCTCGGTTACAGCTGCTGCCGATTCTTCGTATTGTTGAGGTGTTTCGAAAGTTTACTGAAAAATCACTTCATAGGGCGGGAGGGAGGAAACTACGATTCGTCGACACTGAACTCACAGCTGAAAATCTTCCGGACGGAAAGGGTGTCAAATAATGTGCACGTCGATCATAAGACGAACGACGGATGTGCAAACGTTAAAAAACTGCGGGAGAAACGCAAGTGGACTCGACGCCACCATTGTCGCTGACCCCGTTTAATCGTCTTCAACAGGTGACAGGTGTCTAAAAAAAAAAAATGTACGCAGAACCGGAAAAGAATCGAATTCAATTCATTCTTTCCGTTTCTCTTACGTCGTATGTGCTATGTAAATTCCCTTAATGGAAATATAATTAATGTTTCTATTTTTCAACGGTATTGCTGATATTGAAGAAAGCGAATTGGCGTTTTCCCAAACTTTTTATTGTACGACCCATTTTGGAAATTTTTTTAAAATACGGCGATAATATAAAATATTTGTCTATACTATAGACAAATATTAACGAATAATCTATTCCTTGAATAAGGACAACCCTGCGTGGAGCGTTCGAAATAAAATAATGATCGAAGTAGGTACCCTTGGCCATTACGTGCCATGTTGAGCTTTGCAGTCACGTATCGACGCATCGAAAACAATCGCGGGGGAAAAAAAAAAAAGAGTAATACGGAATGGTCGATACACGGACAACCGGACTGGCGAATTGAGGGGATACCGGGAAGAGCAAGACCATAATGTTGCAGGGTGCGGGAAAGTGGTCCTGGAGGAAAGTGACTGAACGGACTCGTTACGGACAGGGAAAAACGGCGGAACTGTGGAAACCGTTTAACGCGCGCGGATTTCACAGAAAAAAATAAAAAAAAAAAAAAAAACTTATTTACTTTGTACGGTGTCGCGTATTTCGGGGGCGCAGCGGCAGCTTGCGGGTGTTGGACTTTGACGTGCGTCGTCGATATGGTCGCGTACGAAGTGGCCGGCGGCAGGTGGTGTCCGTGATGGTGTCCTTCGAACTGTTCGTCCACTTCCTCGTAAATGCCCGGGAACGCGCTGGAAACACGCGCGTACAGGACGACGGCCAAGAATACCTGTGGACACCGAAATCCGTTGGCTATTAACGTCGTATAAATCGCGGCGAAAGAGACGTTCGGACGAGAACGCGAACGATTTATACCCGACGCGAACCAATGCGGTTTTCTGAGTTTCGGAATTACCGCGCGTTCGGACAACGAGGTTTTAAACGCGGGTAATTGCTGGGTTTTTTTTTTTCGAAAACCAATTCTCTACGTCGCTACTTTTACCGAACGCTGCGCGTCGCGTCACGAGTGAAAAACGTTTCGGAAAAAAAAAAGTGCAACGTGGATTGCGGGCTGTTTTTTTTTTTTTTATCAGCGCGTCCGAATCGCGACCCGGCCTCCCGCGGTATCGGAAACGTCCGTAAACGCCGTGCGGTTATGTCTCCGTCGTCGCGCTCGCGCTATGGATTTACCAATTGCGTCGAGTTCACGGTCCGGCGTCGGCGGGTTTTACCGCTCGCCACGCGTTACTTCCGGGCGGTTTTGACACGCACGCGAAACAACCCGAAATCATAACCGGCACGCGGTTCGTACGCGGCCCCCGGTCAAGACGTCCCCGTACCGGTCGGTCGGCGCTCGGGGACGGCCCGCGTCCCGTCCTCGACGTCGCCCCTATTGTAATAACGTCATTGTACTACTCACCAAGTGCTTAGTGCCGACCATTTTGACGGCCGTCGAGTGCGTTTCGGGCGGTACGTTGAACGGCGTTTATAGTGTACGGCACAGTGCGGCGGCGAAGGAGCGACGGGAACGGCGGACCACCGGCAGGAAAATCGACAAAAACGACGTGAGAACGGCGAGGTGTTGCTATTGGAACGCGGTGACGGCGGCGGCAACGCGAACGTGCCGGAGAAAGGTTGAGAAGTTTTGACGCCTGGCCGCGGTCGGCCGGTCGGTTTTATACTTGCCGCGCGCGGCGGACGGGACCCCCGGTAAACGGTTCGTTCGCCCGTTGTAATCGCGCCGCCGTCGCCGTTGTTACGAAGTACCCGTCGCGTATGCGCAAGCGAGGCGCCCGCCCGGTCACGGGGGGTTACGTCACATTTTCGGATGCACGACCGCGCGCCCGGAACACTCGCGCCGCCGCCGCCGCGGCGAACGTGTTTTTCTCCGGCGCCCCCGGCGCACTGGAATAACAACCGCGATCGGCTCTCGTCGCGTGAACTTGAGGGACACGCAGTTGTCTCGTTTCACCCGCGGACCCGACGCGCGTTATAACACACCGACCTAGAACTGCTTCTGGTGACGTAACAGCAGTGCGCGTCCGATCGTACGTTTGACGTGCGAACATTTTTAAAAATATTAAAAAAAAACCGTTCGTAGAACCCATACGGACAATACTGTGTTTTTTTTTTTTTTGTAAAATTGATAACAACCCGCTTTGCCGTAAAATTCAATGGTGACATTTGCCGACTCGAGGGTGATTATTTTCGGCCCGGGCAATATGAATAAAACCAGACCAGAAATCTGCACAGATCAAAGGCACGAATAGTAAAACATTTTGAGGGTGCTAAAACTCGAATACATTATGACAGAACGTGAGAGAATTCCCCCCACCAAAAAAAAAAAAAAATTATCAACCAAATCGTTAAATGGATTTTAGTATACATTCAAATTTCAACCGTTTGTAGAATATTTTGTAAAATTATTCAGAGATATTTCAAAGGTTTAAACACTGTAATATCAAAAAAACTTCTGAGAGTACCAATCTTAAGCACTTCCTCCCGCCCATCTGTAAAGTTACAAGTTAAACATTCATTTTTACGAAGAAAAAAGACATTGAAAATGTAGCAAATTTTTTTTTTTTAACACAAACAACAAATCCTCTCTACGATGATTTCGTTGAAGATTTGCTCATAGAAATACACGCGAACGCATAGTATACAATGAGTACGCACATTGAACCGATTTGAAAAAACGTAACACAACAACGGGTACATTTTAAACAAAACAATCAACAATTCGAATATTGAATGCCCGAAATTTCGGTTGACGGCATACGGTCCTCTATTCGGTTAGGTTCACCTAGGTTTTTTTAAATCGTTCGAGTTTGAAAAATCTCGAAATTATCGGATATCGGTACGATAATAACTCGGGTCATTACTACGGTCGTAACGGTAACGCCGGAAAAACGTTTGCGACCACTTTGTTTTTTCTTACTTGTTTCCGTGGCGTGGATTCGTTTTCTCAACACTACAAGTACACTACTCGTATAAGCACTTGCCGTGGTTTACGGCCGCCGCGTATCGGTTTTCGCAGTCGAATTATACGCCCTCTTGTACGCATTGAGTTGTTGTGGCTGTACAATTCGATTGTTATTTGAGTCCCGCGAGACTATTGCCTATTGTGTCTGCTGCGCGGATTATTGTTATTATTTCGATTAACTAATATTATACTATTTGCATTTGTTTTCGTTTTTTCTCGATTTTTTTTTTCTTTTTATATTATCATATTGCGTTGCGGTCGTATCCCAAATATACCGGCTGGTGCACGATAACATTACGAGTTCTTATCGCCGTCCAACTGCAAACTCGGAACCGCCTGCGATAATACCGTTTACTACCCTCTACGGAGTTACGAAAACCCGTATATACGTTCATACAAGTATTATATAAGACCAGCGTTTCACGACTTTTTTTTTTTTTTTAATATTATCCTGCGCCCCGCTTGTCGGTTTACAAAAATCTCACGCTTCCCCCCGCCCCCCTATTGATTAAAAATATGAGATAAATAATTGTTTTGGATAGGCGAACTTGCACGTTTTATATGTTATTCTCGCCATCGCTTTATTACCCACACCCCCCACTCAGTGCCTAAATGTTTCTCTAGCCGGGAAATTATTTCCCTCGCGTTGGAAAACACTGTTAGAGATGGACAGTTCATGGGCCGCGCTCAGAGGAAAAAAAATCCGCAGAATTACGATTATAATGTTGTAAAATTTGACTAACGTCGTTATATTCATTAACCTCGAAACACTTGAACAACGTCGTTTTAGATTAGATTTATACTTTGCGTATAAGCTATTCACAGGAAACATTGACTGTCCTGAATTTTTAAGTATCGTGTTTCTCCTTCCGTACTATTCCCTACTCGTAACACCCGGTCTAAAAATACATTTTATCTTAACACTGAAGTAAGCAATTGTGCAAGCAATACCCCCACCCCACCCCCCTCCCAATAGATTTATGAAAACTTTAATTCATTCGAAATGTATTGTAATTTCATACTTGTTAATATACTTAGCTATTAGTATTAATCGTACATTGTATTTTATCGTTTCCTCCTTTCCCGTGTGTATTTATTATTATTGTTAACGGACGATTATTATTAAATTTCATGTACTTTTGCGCCCGGTCCGTTTCAAACATAAATACGAGATAAACAAATGTGTACTTTTTGCGTATAAAATTCGATTTGTGCCGTTAGTTTTAACATTAGAGTGCATAGAGTACGCTCGAGTGTCGCAATAGGCCAATACACTCGAATTACCGAAACTCGAACATCACAAAATCGGTTGGCGTGCTATAAAAACAATGACGTTCACCGCGCGACACATAACAGTGATATACATTTTTAAGAGCATACGATCGCGCGAACCACTTTAGACTTGTGTTTGATTTTCGTGTTCGCCGCGTAGGCGCGTGTCGAACACCGTTTCTCGCCGAATTATCACGATGCGTCGGTCGCATTGCCAACAGCCGTTCGATTAGACGTCAAATATCATTGCGGATGCTGGAACACGGTTCGCAATGAACATTGCGTATCAGGTGCTCGCGAACGCGCGAGAGGCTGCAGTGAAACGAAATCCGAATCGATTTCAATACGGGCACTCGCGCATATCTATAACACTGTTATTATGTTCGTGGATCGACGATGCGATACCGTATTGATTGATTTCGGACCCGCAGTACATAACTCCCTGCGTGTCGAAAACTTTGCCCGCGCGTGTAACCTTTATCCGATACAGTATTATTACTGTGCAGATACGGATCTCGTGCATATGTGGTGGCCGCGACCCGTGGTGGTACGCGGTTGTAATATGTAAAACCGCATTGAAATCGGACGAACAACAACGGAGTTCCTGCTATATTAACATAACATTATTATCATGTTTTTCAACCGACTTTCGAATTGTATTCCATATTGTATAACGCACGCCGCACAATATCAAAATCTAATGTGCATAAATCGCCATCGCTATCGACCTTAGGTGCGTGTGAAATTGTATTATATTCTCGTACGCCGTCGCCGTAAAAAATAATAATAATAATCATAATCTCGTTTTGAATCCATTAATTTATCCATTAGAGTTATAAGGAACTATATTATAGCATATAATATATAATGCAAGACGGTCCGAAGCATTTTTATCACCTGTACACGTTATTTTTCTACGAGAGAATTTATTTGTTTTTAAATGTCAAATGGCATTTTCGCTGAGATAATAATCGCATGACTATTGGAAATGAAAACAAAAAGAGAACCGAATCCGCTGATGGACGTTACGCTATTGCAGTCGACGAAGCGTAGACTAATTTAATTTATATCTGTACGTAACGATAAATCATTAAAAAAAAAATTTAAAAAAATACGATTTAGAACGAAGTTCGGCTAAACATATTTCGAAATGACTCGATTTTCGTAAACATTTGAATTTTAAATGCTTTTCATGAAAAATGATTACATTAAGCTCAATTTTTTTTTACCACTCAGTATACCTTATGATGAACTCCGTGTTAAATTTTCGAGTGTTTTTGATGAACCGAAACATTTTTATCAACATTAAACCAAATAAAAACTAAAGGACAAGAAAATTTCAATTCACCATAAACACAGCTAAAAAACTGACAAAATATTTCTAAAATTGTAATGCGTATGAAAAGTGATGATTTAAATATTCGGTGAAAATTGCACTTTTCTACGATTGTTTTTAACCGAATAAAAACAAAAAAACCAAATCGAAAATACCAGAAAACATTATTGCGAACAATTATCCACGTTGTTGGTTTTTAGGTTTGGTTGATAATCAGAACAAGATTGTTTGCAGACAAATTCTGCGCACACAGAAAATAAACATAGTTGGAAAACCAATAAGTTCCTCGAAAACCATCCTATCCTGTTTAAACTATAGCATGTAAATATGTAAAATATGTTATTCCCTTATGGCATGTATTTTTACATTTAAGTTCTGTTTTCATTTAACAATATAAACTATCTAATATTACTTTATGTTAAATACCTACTACTATAAATGATACAATACTATGTAAATATTGGTTATTTTTAACGTTACTTATAATTTATTTTAGACAAAAACTGAGTTAAAATAACAGTATTTTTTTAGATTCTGAGTGGAGCAAAGAAGCTTATGGTTTTACAAGGATGCTTGTTTATTTTTTGTTTCTGTAGACAACTTTTATGAAAGGAAATCGGTGTGTGGAGGTACTTTAGAAAGGTCATTTTTCGATTTTCTCAAGAGTTTTCTCATTAAATCTGAAAACCGAAAAAAAAAATAAACGGGAAAATGTAAGAAATATAGGTATTAGTTAAAAATTCTATGGCCTTTTTTTTTCCTTTTATTTAGTGCGTATAAAAAAGTTTTCGATTTTTTTTCCGGTTTTCTTAGCCGATTCGGTTTTGCTCGCGTTACACAGTGTTGCAAAACGTTTTTATACTCTCTGGTTTAAACCGGAGACTCCTTTTCTGTTATTACTGTTAAATAGACTCAGTTTACCAATGGACATCTAAAACCTTTGATCTATATATTATTTTAAAAAATTACATTTGTTTTACGTTATATTTCGTTGTCTCAGTTCTGAAATAATCGGTATAATCGTCTAAGCGTTGAAACGAATGATTTTATTGTTTAAAAAGAAAAAAAAAACCCG